ATTCACTTATTTTCACAAATCCCCGCTGACATGCTCTTACATTGTTTCTTACATGCATTTTGAAGAGAAAACTAAAGCTTTTAAACATGAACTAGAAGGTTCGACTTTGCGTGAAAAAAACTTTTAATTAGTCCAAGATTAAGAACTGTTTTTCTTTTTCGTTAAAATGGTACAAAATATCCAATCCAAGTGGATATACGGGTCGAGTTACGAATTGTGGATAGGAGAAAATTACTTTTTTTCTCCAGGAAAACTCAGCTTGGCACAAAAGTATAATGCCCCATTCCTATAGATACCATCGGTCTTCGTTGATAGATCCAACTCTGCAGATACTCTCGCAGACTGCAATCAGTCTCCTGGCGTTCAGTAAAATACGTAAAAAAACTGATGAATGTACGGGTACGTTAGAAATAATTGGATGCTAGTCATTCAGTTAAGCCGATTACATTCAGCGAGAGTCTCTGCAGAGTCAGATTTGGATTGATCTACGCAGACCGTTGGCGTCTATGGGAATGGGGTCTAAAATACCCGTAAAAAATAAAGCACCACGAACGCAAATGATACGGGAAGACAGTAGGAATTCACAATGATAAAACTTCACAATAAAAGACATCGTTTTACATAATTTACCTGATACATTATTTCTTTCAAAGATGACATAATCTCTGTTGCTGGTCTTGAGGAAATATCCCAGTTGTAGACCACCAGGCCCAGCTCCTACAATACAGTACTCATGGAAGCTTTGACTGGACCCAGACACAAGGCACAGCAAAACTAACAGCACACACTTGGAGAGAAACCCTGGGATGTTTGTTGACATCTTCTCTACTTCTTTATTGTTGGATAGAGAAAAAATAAAAAAATTAGTGAGGTATATTCGATCTATGATTAAAAAAACTAGCTTTCTTTACTTATGAAATAATTAAAGAGTAAACATTCTGCCAAATCTTGTTTCTCTTCGTGTACAAGTACTGTACTAGAAAAATACACAATTGTGGTACTTCAATAAACATTATTCTTTCAGATGTAATTCACCTACCTTTTAATGTTAATGCTTCTACTTACTTGTCAACGGCTCGAAAGGTTTCCCGTGTTAGTAATGATAACTGGTTGAACGCAGACCCTTATATATACATGTACGTTGTCACTCACTGGTTTGCATATGAACAATATTGGGCGGGGTTATTCTCAAAACACAGTGGGGTCGCACATAAGTCAAACTTGCTAAGACAGGCTCGCCGACAATGATGATACCTTACGGACATTACTTAATTGAGGTTTCCTCTCATTTATAGGCCCACTGCTTAAAATTAGATCCATTCAGAACACCTCTTAGCTTAAGGCACACATTGTTATGGCTGAACATTTAATTTTCTTGAAAATTTGGACACTTTTCGTATTCACAAAAGTTTACCATGTCTAAAACCTATCCACAGAATTACGATCCATAAACCCTTTTTAGTTCTGTTTTCTATTTTTTGAGAAACTCTCGTGAGGAAAATTGGGACTAGGGGATTTTTTTCGTGATGGTAAAAAATGAGAAATTCAAAACTCGAAAAACGGGTTTATAGACAGTAATTTTCTCAGTGGTTTTGGACAGGGCAAGCCTTGGTGATAATGGGGATATTCAATTCTGCACATTGTATGCCTGCAATTTTAACTTCTTTCGTTCAAAAGCTGACCACGAGAAAATGATACGTGAGCTCTGCAAAAGTGGTAGTTCAAATCAGGACTGTATGTAGCAAAGTGGACCGGAAGGATGAACAGTCATTAAAGATCTTCAATTTAATTTGCATTTGGGATGTGGCTCAGATGTTGACATTGAAAATTACTTCAAAGATATGTTACACTTGTAATCCACCTCCCTCCGCGTATTTGCAGTTTCACTTTAAAATACATTTGTTGGTGTAATTCTCATTTTCTATATTAAAACATCCTATTCGTTTCAATATAAATATAGTAATTGACATACCGTGTGCCCATTTAAGAAAAAAGATCGAAAGCGTCAGTAAACCCATTGAACATAACAGACATATTTTTAATCATACAAATAAAACCACCTATGTAATGTTGCCTCAAAGATTTAATATAAGATCTCGCTAAACGCTCACAAGATGTCAAGGTACACCTTTTGCGGTATCATTATCTAGGCGGTGCAGCGTTGCGTAAGAGGCTAATAACTGTAGCCTCTCTGGTCAGATACCTGGTCTAGTTTAAAATGCCAATCTTTTTTAATTAAAGCAAGGGGTTATAACTCCTTGATTAAAGGCAGTTGGAAACCTTCCAAGAGATACGTCAAAGACAAACGACAGAGATGGAAGCGTGTCATCCATTGGACCAAGTCATACGGCCGAAGCAGTTAGTAGTTTGGAAGACGGTCAGGTGCGAAATGAGCTTTAGTGACAGCTGAGGGCAGGCCCAGGGTCCCAAGTCCCAGTATTAAGATTATCAATTTCATAACGCAGACTTAGAATGGAAGAAAAAAAAAACAGACCGGTTCCGGAACACACTTGCAAAAATCCATCCCCGATCAACTTTAAATCATGCTAGAGCATACTTTCACTTCTTTTAGTTTTGAACATTTTTTTTTATGCAAATGGACACAATTTTGCCATAAATCTTTCTATTGAAAAACAAAGGTGGTTCAGTAGTTAAAGGTCCATTAATCCGAAGATTCATTATTCCTTAGACTCAATAGTTCGCAGCTAACATAGAATGCACTGTTTTACCAGTTCCTGTATCTATTATCAGAAAATAGTCAAATGTATGTATCAACGGCAAAAGGTCTGTCTTGATGTGCCAGCATAACCACAATTGAGTGAAACAGTAAAACAATATTTTATTTCGAATGAAAGATATAGCTGCCAGTGTCACTTAATAGCGTGTCAGTTTTTATTTTATACTTAACTACTGATCAGGTCATAAAAAGATGCAGTAAACATTCAGTTTGTATTACGATCTTATCGAACATGATGCTGTGTACGCTCTCAGATTTCTAAGGTGTGGCAGTGTTATCCAGATAAGGTTTATTACGTGTCGGTTGTGCCAAGAACATTGTGGTAGAGGAAACACTAGATGGTGGTGGTGCTCCATCTGCTTTACCCCCAACTAGCGCATCCAGCACAAAAGACACGATCAGTTCTATTCAAAATCATTATTAGGAAAGGTTTTCACCTTGCCTATTATGCATTATTTAAGGGTTCTCTCTGAATAAATAACCTTAAACAGTCATCAAGTTCACCAACCTTAACCACTATTTCTAATTATAATAAGATTTAAATCAACCAATCACCTCATCTGAATAAAATGATAGATGTACTGAATATCATGAAATTGGTTTTACTTTTGTACTTGTATAAAAAATACAAGTACTGAGTAAAATATTAAAGTAGTTTTCATCTGAATAATGGATTGGCTTTGACAAGTGTGTGTGTGTGTGTATGCATGTGCATGTTTATGCACACAAACATGATCATAGTGCCACAAATAAGTTCATACATAATAATAGAAAAAAATATATGAACCACTGTGTAGTAGTAGCAGAATCCTTCTAAAACCTCTTCACAATACATCATTGGATTCTGCAATCTAACTTTTAAATACATATTGATAGTTTAACAACCTTTACAAAAATCATGCATGTAGACTGCTATGAAATATAAACAATATTATCAGCATATATACTAAATGCCAAGCCAAAGGCAATTTTTTGGTGTTTTTTTCCTTCCAAGCAGAATCATCTCTTCTTTTAGCTGCAAATAAAAATAGGGCTTTCTTATATCACATTGATCTCATTGCACAAAAAGAGACAGATAAGTCAAACTTCACAGAGCTGCACAACCATTTCTGTTCAACTATCTGCAGCATCTTTCTGTATATTTATCATAAAAATGCTTATAGTAAAATAAGCTTTAATCAAAATAAACTTTTAATATGTAATTAAAATAGCTGTCCAAATTTTAATTACCTTAATAACATTACTATTTCTTTGGAAAAGTCAAATTGTTATTATTTATGGGTTTCATCTTAATATAAACAATGCATGTTAGACCTTTTTAAAGCAACAATAATAAATAAATAAATAAATAAATATAATCTCTATTTGGAGAGAGAATCAAAAACTCAAAAAGAATACATGGATTGTAATTCTGTGAACAATTGTAGACATTGCGTTGAAAATTTCCAGTAATATTATATTAATTGTCTATAAAGGTCTGCTCATTGTTGGCCTTTAAAGGAAAAGCTCAAACAAAAAATCTTATTTATACCATTTTTAAAACTATATGTGTAGAATTCACAAGTTGGCCCTGACAAAGCTCTGTCTACAAAGTAAAGAAACCTCAGCTGCACAAACAAAAATACATAACACAGAACAAAAAATTGCATCAAGATTCCATTTCGGAATCCTTTGAATGATACATTTCTATATTTTAACTTATCTTTGGTATTTTTTTTTATATTTTCATTTACATTTAGGAACAGGCATACTACTAGTTCCCAATGTGGGAATTAGCCAAAATTAAAATGGTGGGCTTTTGGTACCAAATGTACAGTTTCCCAAACACAAGTAATAAAATCTATCTGCTCTATAGGCCTGGTCACACCAACAAAAAGATGAATTGAGGTTGGATGAATTGAGATTACAAATTTTCTTGGGATTTGGGCCTTCATTGTCATCCAAAACAGAATTGACCAAAAATGACACATTTTCCACAATAGTGTGCTGATAAGAACAGTATGAATTACAAACAAATTAATAAATTATTGTTTGTGTGTCACAAATAAAAGCAAATGTCATTGCAGATGTTCACATATCATGCGCAACAGAAATGCTTAAATCCTAACTAATCTGTAATATTCCCAATATATTATTTTAGTTCGTGATATGGACATGATAGGAGCACTCTTCATATGGTTAACATACTCAATGCATGCTCTCCCAGACCAGTAGCAAGCAACAATTTGCCTGAGTTGCGGATAAGAGTGGAAAACAGTGCATGTATTGCATATGTATTGCTTATGTTTTGTGGATGCATTGGGACCGATGTATTGCGCATGTCATCCGTAACCAAAATTTTGGGCAGCTCAAAAATCTAGGGATCAGAAGTGTCTCTGTGTATAATTGTGGACATGTGCAGATGCTGACCGAATGATACAAGCATGTATCATGAATATTGCAGATGTTTAGCAGATATCAACCAATTTTGTTTGCAATTCATGCGAAATTCATCCTAATGCCAGTGAGACAGGGTCTTATGAAAATGAAAAATATAATAATTTTTACCAATGTAAGATCAATTTTTAGAAAAATATTTTACTTGTAAATTCTTCAGTTATTTGCCTACAGCAAAAATTATGCCCTTTTTTCCAGATCATATTCCAGCTGTTATAACAATGATGCTATGCGTGCTCTGAGCAAGAGAGCCTCAGTTCCAACAAGACCTTGACCTTGCATATATTTCTCCTGGCACATCAATGGTACTGTCTGATGTGTCATGGCCAGAGTGAAACAAGAACTGGCAAAGTACTTCCTCATGTCAGTACCAATACATCTTTCTAAGAACTGTCGCAATGGCAGAATGTGGCTGAGGGGTGCATCCCATGTGGTTAGAAAATCCTCAACAATATGGTGTAAATGAACAGGTTTTGGCAATGTCTTACTTCCCTTTTTCTTCATATCTTTTTCTGAAATAGTTTTTAAAATATGTAATTGACAGTTGATGTTTCATGTAGTTTTATTTCTATTTAAAAAAAACACCAAGTGAAGTAAAAGTGGGCAAAAAGCATCTGAAAAGGGATGTTTTCCAAGGCAATGCAAGACGCCTATACAAACATACACAGGGATATCTTAAATTCATGGGGATCTAAATAAGTTGCATTGGAATCCCTTGAAACTAAGACCCTTTTCACACAAAATGGTATTCTTTATCAATACAGCCTGACTGGTACACTCTGAGAGATCTGTATATGAACTTAAACTCCAAGGGTTTATACTTGCTTTCACAAGTTTGTTTCCTGCTGTTTTGAAGGGGTCCAGTTAGGTGACTCTCTTACTTTACAGCCAGACTATTAAGTTGCCAATCTTTCAATGAATACCAATACAGGCTATGTTATATAAGAATGGGGCTCTACATGAAAAGGACCACATAATGACTTCAGGTTCAAGTAATACACATCTTGCTGCTGATTTCACTCAAAGCTGATACAGTTTTCAGGCAAAATCTTGACTGACGCACAAAAATATGCTTTGGGACCACCAACATCTGTTGGAAATCAAAAGCATGAGGTTTTACAGAAACCCTTTAGTGCAATGATATAAAAATTTCACAACAGTGGTAATGATAAATATGGTTCAAACAAAAGATTGAAAGTACTTGAAATACAAACCTGTGGGTAAAGTTTCATAATAATAAAACACAGGATGAAGAAAGTTGGACTGATGTGCATCAGAGGGCTCTCCTGTAGCTCTGTTCAACCTGAACACATCATTACCAGGACCGGAGAAGTTAGCACCATACTCCAAAACTACAACAATTATCTTCTCTGCTGTTTTGCCAGTTATTTCATGAAATTTTGGAAGGGACATGATTGGAAACTCTTCCAAGTATTCAAATTCTCTGCCATTACTGAAAAGGAAAAAAGTTAGCTGCTCATACCTATTGGTACTTACACCCCCTCCCCCCAAAAAAAAAGAAAAGTGAACACATTACTCATCTTGTAAAAATTTGAATCAGTCTCAATAAAAGATATCTTAACACACTGTATGGAAAATAACATGTAAAATTAATGTAGAAAGCAACCATATCATAATGATTACACACAAAATGATATGAGCATAATATCAAATTCATACTTGACAATCACATACTTTTTTAATAGTATAACATCTCCCAGAACTTGAAACATTTGATATATTCCAGAGGCTTCATTAATCCTCTTCAGTATCCTATCCAAAAGTTCTGTGATGGGTGCTTTTATAGACGGCCACTCAACACCATGGTTGCGGTGCTCTAGATAATTGTACAGTGTCCTTGCTGGAAAATAAACCCATACTGTAGCTAGTCAATCAGAACATTAACATGAATATTATATTGTAGTGATGGTGGTGATTATCTACAGAATAAAAAAAAACAAAAAATGTTTATCATCAAAGGTGCAAATGCTGGAAGGTTCAAGGGATTCAAATGAACTGCCCTTTTTGGGTGAAAAGATCCCTTCCAAATCAGAATTTGATAAAGGGTCTGCTGAATATGCACATCTCCTTTAAAATTGCAAGCTGTACAGAAGGTCTTTTCTCTCACCTGTGTATCTGAATCCATGTATAAAGCCTCCAGCTGACTTCCTGAAGTCCACGGAGTGAGAGTTGGTGCCAGCAAAAAACAGACCAGGGATGTTGGTGGACTCATAAGTTGGGAGAGTTTTTGGAAATTTCTTACGCCGTCCTTGACCTCTTTCAGGTTTAGTGGAACTTTGAGAACATAAAGATATTATTATACAATTTTATCTATAGTTTCATTTTGTCAATACTACAGCACAAGATAAGCACATTTTATTCTGTCATAGCTGAATTCTTTAGGCAACATAACATTTAGAAAGATATAGGGACAAAAAAAATGATACAAAATACTCCATAAAAAGAATTTTTATTGAGCTTTCCATTTTCTCCCTTAATGCTCCATATCATTTTCATCTTTTTTATACTGCCATGCATGGTGTTAAAATAAGTGCTAGTTTTTTCTTTTTTCACTCTTAATTTCTTCCACCCAAAATCAACCATACCAATAATCTCTAACAAATAAAATCCAGCATGTGGGATCTTAAACTTAGGTTTTATTTTTAAAACTGATGTTTGAAAGATGTCATATTACTAAAGACATATAATTGATAATAAATATCATTTCATTTTACATCTCCAACAAAGTCATATCTTAAACACTTACTTATGAAACACCTCATCATCAAATTTCCAACCAGTGCACCTTATCACCACATCGTAATCATCTCTCATAGCAAAGTTATCAAACAGATTTTCATCCATATCTCCAGCAGAAAAAACAAGTTTAATTTTCCCCTGCTTGGTTTTCACTAAAGCAGCTTCTTCTATAGGAGCTTCCAGGACAGCATCCAGGGATTTCAGTTGGTAGGTGTCTAACAGTCCGTTATTCACTGCCCTGTAGGTGGGATCATTTCACATTATAACTTTCATATGAAGTTTATGAAATACATAGTGGTTAAGGGAGTAAATCATAAGTTACTCCAGCAATGTTGTTAAATATATAAACAAGGCAGCAAAGCTGCCAAATGTTAAGACAAAAAACAGAAAGTAGTGATGCATAGAACAGGTTATTTTGTCAATTTTGATGCAATATTACATAATGTTTAACAGCAAAATCAACAAGTTGCAAAAAGTCCCTAAGCCATACATGTACCATCAGTTAAAGCTGTGGGTGCAGTTAAGGGGCCCACACACGGTGAGCATTCGGCGCGCGCCACTTGCGCTGCGCCAGATGCTCGCGCTCCTCAGCTCCCCGCAAACGATGCGCTCTTTGCTCAGCAGAGATGCCTCCCAGCCTGCCCCTATCGGACGCACCGCGAACTGTGGGATCATGTGATTAAGGAAACATTACATATTTATTATTTTTTTCTGAAAGTAATGGCAAATGGTGACCACGTTAATCAATCAGACTAACTATAACTGTGTACATTTTTGTTTACTTCGCTGGAAGCTGCCATTTTTCTTTGTTTCCGGCTACCGGCACATGCGCATTGTTGGCATGGCGTGAGCAATTGGCGCTTGCACCCCGCACACGCTGAGACATTTGCCTCAAGAGACCAAAAATATCAAACACGTGAGATATTTTGCTCAGCCGCGCGAGAGGCAAAAATCTCACGAAAATAGCCCCGCACGCGATTAGAAAATGGCACAGCGCAAGTGGCGCGCGCCAAATGCTCACTGTGTGCGGGCCCCTTTAACTTGCCTTAAATCTCCCACATAGTGTGTAGCCCATGACAGCCTCACTCTGGATCGCGCAATCATGTGAATCACGTTGGTGGCGCCATAGATCCTGTCAGCTACTTCAAAGGCAGAATTGCCACGTCCTGAAAAAAATTCATAAAATTTGTTTGAAATCTGAGATCAAAGATATATTTTGCATTTCGGCACACCAGTATATTTCACATTGAGATACATACGTATTTGTAGGTATTGGTTGTAACTCCACCAAATCTTTATGTTTACTAGTCTAAATTATGAATTTTGGCCCAATATCAATTTGAGTTTTTTTTTAAATTTGAAATTTTTTAAATTTTTTTTTTAAAATTGAATCTTGAACATGGTCCCCCGTCTTTTTTTTTTTTTTTTTAAACAATAAAAATAACGAAGTAGTGACATGCTGTAAGCACAAAAAAAATGGACCAAAATGTTCTGGAGCAGTACTTGTGTTGCATCCTCTAGGAAAAACATCAATTTCTGGTTGTGTGGCCACTTTAGATAGCTTTAATCTTGTATTCATAAATATTAACAGTGTTGCATGAATAACTTTTTGAAGCATCACTGGTGTTGCTTCTTGCTCTTCTTTATTATTTTTTATCAATCAATATACTGAAACCTACCAATAATCAACACACTTTTCCCCTCAAAATCATCTGGGTTGATTGAGACGTCATTATATCCAATTGTATACTCTACTCCTCTAAATTGTGGAACATGTTCTTTCTGTAAACCTGTGGCTATTATAACATTTCTGCAAAAGGAAAAAGTGCACAACTGTATCCAAACCTAAAAGTGAATTATACTTTTAAGTGTACTACATTTAAACCATAATCATATAATACAGTATAGTACTAAAATCTCATTTTTACAGTATAAACATATAATTTTGATAAAAAGGGTTTAACATACATGTTTGAATTATGAAGGGAAAGGAAGAAAGGTATGGCATATAAAAAGACATGTTCTCTACTTAGGCCCCAATCAAAAAATATATATAAAGAGATGTCACAGGGTATGTGACCTTGGCGATAAATGCTTTATAATGTTTTGTGCTCTTTCTCTCAGTATATACATATGTCAAATAACACACTGCTACCCTCTCGAGTTATATACCTTGAAATCCTCTCGATGATGCCTGATCTGTGCTGGCATATATCGCTTGGGTGAGTTTTATCTCACACAAAGAATACTTAATGGTAATTGTTGTTCAGTAAATGGATTCCTATCATTTGCTTTAATTGAGCCAAAGGCTGGTGTTCATTTTTCATTAAGTATCATTTCAAGCGAAATAATGATTTTTTTTTAACCATTACTTCTAGTAAATGAGGTTACCAATCATGCTATACTACTTGGGTCTTCTCAGTCATTCCATCCAAATTCACTCAGCCATGAATGATATATAATTTTCCACATGGACAAAACACAAAAGACAATATGAAAATGCTAAATAAGAATTTTTGGTTAACCGATTCCCTGGGCAGAGTGAACATTATATTGCAAAGGACACCTGCACGGACAGTTGGACCTGATAAATTCTTTTCATCAATTCATATTGCATTAGGTTTTGCATTACAAGTTTTGTAGAAATGGTTATTCCTTCCTGTTTGATAGTGCAGATGGCCAAAATAAAATGATGACGTGTATCATTCTTTATTGAAATGCATGTGGAATAGGACTGATCCTTTATCAAATATCCTGTATCACAGGGACTATATTTTAAATTTCAACAGTGTGGAATGAAAATGACCAACAGTTTCATTACAACTGAGTCAAACTTCAATTATTTGTGAAGGGTAATAATAGATACATCACGAGTCAGCAAAGTGTATGTAACCAACACAAGGGTGAAACATACAAAATAATCCACGTCTATTTTTACTTGGGTTGCATTCTACTTCCATGAATGATCACAGTATCTTTCAAGTGGACAAAAAATGGGTTAAAATATATTTTTTCATTCTTGCTTAATATGACCAAAAAAGTCAATATACATAAGGCCATTTCATCAGAATAAGGATATGAACAGAACTGAATATGAAATTACTGTACAAACATTCAATGATCTATCACATACTGGTGTGTATTGGGAGCTGAGCAACAATTACTTTACTTATGTATAAAAAAGTCAAAATTGTTTTAATAGACCACGCTTTATCTCTGGAGCTCTAAAATGAAAACCCAGCCAGCCAGATTCCCTGTCTCTTCAAATATGAACTTCGGAATCTTTTCACATGGTTAAAAATATCTAACAATCAGGGCATTCAGACAATCAGAACACCTTTATTATCAGCTCCATAAAAACATTGGAGTATCAGAAGCTGCATGTTATATGGAGGTTCATACATTATGAAATCATATATAAAACATCAAAGGCAGCTGGTGACAATGTAAATTATAGTTACATATGCTGTGCATTATCAAGTAATAATATACAACATGAAATGTAAATTCTTCAACAATAGACCAATTTCATGCAACTTTGCTGCATGCACACTATTCAAATCTGTTAGATTTTACATTTGCAATCAGTTTGGGACACCCTTAAAAGATACTCCATTCTCTTCAACTTGAAGTTTAAATATTTTATCAATGCATAACATACCATTTAAAATTATCCTATTTATTTTGAAAACTGCCAAAGACCTTTTTTGCACAACTCCCTTCAAAGAATGTATTTATGTTATTAAGTTTCCACAAATGAAATGCTGTATGTAAAATAAAGTTCAAAGTACTTACAAATTTTGTAGTGAAGTTAGCTATGGACTTATGAAGTGATACTTGCCTGGCAACTGACTTCTAACATTATTATTCACATCCTCAAGTTTCAAACCTCTATGTCCATAACTCAGAACATAAACTGATAATTTATAACAAAGAAATCTAATAAAATCCACATCTCACATTGCATTCATATAGTTCATGAAAAAAAGATAAGATGTATACTGTTTCACAAGCATAAAAATTCATGGAATTATTCAAATTCATATTAAATGGAAAAGGGTATCTTAGAAAAAGAAAAAAATACTTACTTGCAACTGTATGCATTCCCGCGCTGATCCTCCATAGAAAACAACCCCGTGTCACTGCGTTTCCTGATATTGTGGACATCCACATTATACTGAACATTGATTCCCAGTTTCCTCTGATAGTCACCCAAGTACTTTACCAACACCTCTCTGTGTGGAAACATCACTTTGGAATAATGGCGCACCTGTAAGCTTTCATCGTGACTGATGAGAGAGTTCCAGTCGTGACGAAGATTGAATTCTTTGTTGGTTTTCCCAGTGTTTCTCTTGTTTATGCTGATTAACATGTCATGACGAGGATATTTTGTGAAAAAGGAACCTAAAAAAGGATAAAAAACATCACACTTAACCTCTTTTATTTAATACTCAAAAAAGGATAAAATTTTACTAGACTTTTTCTGCACTTCCAGACAAATTTCTGTATGCTTATTTTGCTACGAAATTTCAACTTGAAAAAAGTCGATATACTACATAATCTGATATCTGAAATATAACACCTTTTAATGCAGAAAGTACATATGAAGCATGCAGGTGGATGATGATCATAAGAACATGAAAAAAATAGATACAAAATTGCATTTTCTGACAATCAATTATATTTCAGGAAAATACACTTTATGGAAACTGTTTCAGGAAATATATTGTTCTGTTGTGAAAAAAAGGTGAATGGCTTAATGAAGTAATTAATCAAAACAGGTTATTTCAAGAATGTAAAAAAGATCTATTTGTTAAGAATTGATATGATTTTATCTTTAAGATATATTGATGAAAAAACTACAACAAGATGTCAGCTGTATCAAATGACAGCTTTTACAAAGATAAATCCAATAAATAGCACACCTTTTTTACATACTTTCAAAAAACATTCAAATGATCAGACCAACCCACATTCAACAACTGAGTGGGCAAAGTGGCAATTTATTGCAAATTATCTACAATTTTATCAAAATAATTACACAGTGTTGTTTTTTTCCACTGCATATAATATATTTTTTGTTCTCAATGACAAAACATACATTTCTGCCTTATGGCAAAGTTACAACAGTTTTGTGATTTCTTGTCAAGGCATTTACCTCCCCTTCAAGCACTTAACTCATTTTACCTCATGTTTTCTTTCTTTTCTCAGACATGGAAAGTATATCATTAAAAAAGATGTATGCCAAGAAAAGAAAATAATAACAGGTCTTGAAGCAAAGCTGTCTTCACCATTATGATCATCCATTAGGGTAGGTCTATTGGATTATAGCTATAGTATAGCCAAGGTATTTCTTTTATCACCACTGCCAGGCTTTATCTTCTCCTTCTGACATTTTGAATGCAAAAATTCTTTAAATAACACTGATAAGCACTAGACTACTATATAAAATGTTTGCCTAATGCTTGAGATAATTTACACTGGATAAAGACAATGGATTTTTTTTTTTTTTGATTAGCAAAATATTCTCAGCAGTCAATAATACACAATACTGTACTTTTGCAAGAATCCAAAAGTGCTGCACGATTTGCTAATTAATTCGTTTACTTGACTATGTATAGATACAATAACTGACCTGATACATTATTTCTTTCAAAGATGACATAATCTCTGTTGCTGGTCTTGAGGAAATATCCAAGTTGTAGACCACCAGGCCCAGCTCCTACAATACAGTACTCATGGAAGCTTTGACTGGACCCAGACACAAGGCACAGCAAAACTAACAGCACACACTTGGAGAGAAAACCCGAGGTGTTTGTCAACATCTTTTCTTTTCCTGAAAGTACAAAACCAGATCATTTCAAAATGTTCAAATTATGAGCACGAGCTATATATATGACATATGTAATTTTGACTTGGGAACCTGGCAATGTATTTACATGTGCTAATAAAATGTGGCATCCTAACCTAGATACATTTGACCACTGAAATGGGTTTTGGAAACAACACAAAACTAATATAATTTTTTGGCCAAAATATAGGAAATTTTTTTTGACTTTTTAAAGTATGAGTTATAAAATTTTTCTTTTTCCCAATTTTTTTTTTTTACATATTTATCCTTTTATTTATTTTTTTTTTTTTGCCAAAATGTCAATAGGCATTCCACTATCAACAGGTACAAAAAAGAGAAAAAAATACAAGTGACATGTAGTAGACTGACAAATTGCACACCTGGAAAGGCAGATGCGGGTTAATCTTCTTTTTTTTTCATATCCAGAACACAACTATGACTTGTGCTAGATGGTGGAACACAATTATAGTAAGCTCCCCAATTAAATGTACAGTAGGTACTGACAATAGCCCATCTACAATTTAGTAGGCAACAGGATATGTCTTCCGTAATCTCAAAAAATCTAATTTCAAACAGCTTTCTCCTTTGGTTGTTGAAACTAGTTAAAATTGATGAAAATAAATGTTCTAAAAATTACAAATTAATTCTGGCATGCACATTTTAAAGTTTATTCACCATGAATAAAGTAAATTGATCTCCCAACAAAATCTCAATCTTCTAGAAATCTGAAACAATTGCTGTAGCTGTCAGCCAGTTCAAAATATTAATTAACCGTTCTTCATTAGAAGCCAACTAACCCTCATAACCCATTCCTAAATATCATTTGTTGTTACAACATATACATGTATATCTGATACTACTGATACACGTATTGGTATTCAATTGGCTTTTTTTAATGAACATCTTTTCAACATATGGAGTAAGAGAGATGATAAACTGTATATTTTCTACTGGGGTATGTGTTTTGACACACGTATTTCACTTAACAGCCTTTTTCTAATCACACTTCCTGGTAGGAATTTTTATCAACATCACATTTATTTCTGAACCATAAACCCGACTAAAAAAAATATTTTTTTTATCTCTGCAAACTGCCAACAGAGTAGTGAAAACAAAACTTCTGCGTCTTATCGTCTATTTTGCCAGTTTTTTTGTGAAATTTAACCAAAACATGCTGACCTAGCACAGAAAAATATTCTTGTTAATTTACATCCGTGTGAGAGCCAGATACTCAAAGTTTAAAATGTTTCCGTCAAAATGTTGTTTACTTATTAAAAACTACATAAATATCACTTGATTCTACCCCTTCTCATCGTGCGTCGGTTTGGTGATACTTAAACCGGTTGGCGAAAAAGGGACGGCGGCACAAAGCTGTTTTATAACAGACGCAAACTTACCAAGTATAATAGCAGCTTATCCGCACGACCTCCTCTCATGCACTGTTGTGCTGAGCTCGTAAATTTGACCTTTGGTGACACGTTATGCCCAAACGCGCGTTAATCGTCATAACTATGAGATGAAAACAAAATAAATGATATGTTTTGATTGCCTCACATATTTAAGTTAATGGCTTAAAATTACTATTTTACATTATATCTTTATTTATCAATGCATTATTCTATGCAAAACCACATTATTAAGCTATAGATAGATAGAATCTTACTGAATTTTTACTTGCTTCAGTGGAGCAGGTGCGGGTTAGCGAGTGAGCACTGAAGGTACATGACATTAAGGAAAACAACCAGTATCAGCGGCAGTAAACCGTTAAAATGGAAGCATTTTGCGGTTCTCCGTTTTGGGTGAGTTAAATATGATATAAATTCAATACAAATTGAAAAAATATATAACAATGAAATAGGACGGAATGCATAAAAATGTAGCTTGCAAGCTAGGAGGTGCGTGATTTATGGGCTAAATACTGACCGCGATTAACACAGTGTATTGTCTTGGTACTTTGTCCTACTAGTATTGTGATTAACTGACCACGTGCACACTACTTAAAATAGATCATACGGTTATGTGACCTACACAAACAATGTTGAAATGCAAAGTATAATGTTCCCGGACGTTGTGTTATAAAGTACTAGTTAGTCCTCTGTATGATAATGGACATGCCTTAATAATTCATATGCTTAGCATCTTAGTTGGTAAAATGACAAAGGTGTTGGCTGCTTAAATAATGTCATCAGAATTTTGTCAAAGTTGAGTTAAAACCTTGATTATTTGAAGCACCCCATATAACCTCTCTAACCCATGTTGAGAGTCAGGCTGTGAGATTATGCAAGTCATTGAGTTTGGCTACTTCAGACATAGGGTGTACATATACTGGAAGGTATGCCATTGTCTTGATACCTTAAACAAAGGGGGTAAACAAAGAATGCATTGTGTCATATATTAGTTTTCGACTATAAGGAGAAGAGAGTGCATGTTCTAGATAAATGGAAGTGTTTATTATTGTGGCATCAACATTGAATTTCATACAATATTTTTGTTTTATCATATGGGTGTTGAAATGGCAATATCATAGTTGTAGACTTGGATTAATACACAACACACACTTGTTGTGAATTATGACCATATGTTGAGAAAAATAGTTTTCAAGACCTGATTGTTTTTTTTTTTTTTTTTTTTTTGCCTCAAGAATGTCAAATTATCGATAACATGATTAGTACCAATTTAGACCAATTACACCATCATTTATTAGTTATTTTCCAAATCGTAGTGGTATGCATAAGTCTTATGGAATGATTTTTTTATGTAGCCTATGCATACACAAATGATCATTCAGAATTTTGCTGCTTGCAAAACTCCTTCTTTCATAAAAGTTTTTGTATGCACTTGTTACAGCACTAGTTCAAGAGTGTAATGATAAGGTTACACTGAGTGCTTGTAACTGACTTATCCTATAGCTGGCGCTTGGTACAATATGTTAATTGTAATTGTAGGTCACTTGAAATGCATTGACACACAGGCCTCGTGTAAGGAAAATGCAAGTGAAAATATCCTTTTGTTGGCAGTTCTGGCCATAGGATAAATATATATTACTGTATGTTTGAGAACAGTACCCAAACCCTATCTATAATATAACTAGCATGTAGGGTTCTGTTGCTTATTATCATCAAACATAGTAAAGCTGTTCATGAAATTACTAGTATGCATATTTTCTGACAGTCTTCCCACTTGCCTTTTTTTATCCATCCTTAATTTTTGACCATCTTCCGACAGAAAAATTAGATGCCCATCAGTGTAAACTTGAAAAAGTCTGACCGTAGACTCAGAAGATGGCCTCAATCTGCCCCTGATATCAGAATTCATTGACAATTGACATTTATAAATTACTTAGTACAAGGAAAAAGTTGGTTTTAACTGAATTTGATTAAATTTTATGTAAAACTACATAGATAAAAAATAATAAACAGTTTAATATTTGACAACAGTTACTGTCTTACTTTACAAATAGTTAAATATAGCAAACAATCATTTACAAAGACAGGCCAAGTGAATGAAGGCAAAATATTTTATGCATACGTACATGACCAGTACGGGTAGTGAGTACAGAGAGGAAATGGAAATGTCATCAAGTTAAACATGATTAGCAGATAAGGAGTGTAAATTGTCAAGATATGTGTAATATATATGCATTCATGGTGTCACAGGGTTTGATGTGAAGATGCTAATGAAATGGCAAGCCTCTTAAAATATATTGGATAGCTAATAAAATTGAGTTAAACTCTTTCTCTACAAAGTGAAGGTTCTGAATTCTTTCTCCATTCAAGGAGAAGATATAAGTCTATTATCTTCAGAATAAAAAAAATGACTAGTAAAGATAAACGTTCCCTAAATCAGCATTACAAACGCATGGAAAATATCAGAGATTGTGTAGTTATTACACAGCGATGCCAAGGTCATAACAAAATGCCAGATATTTTGGTAGTTCATTTGGGTATTTTCAGTGTACAGTATATGTGCAGAGGATGTTTGCTCAAAATAAAGCTGCCTGATAAGGTCATTTTGAACAAAACTCTGCAAACGACTTGTGAAATAAGATGAAAATGGACCCGTGTTTACTTAAGTGCTAATGGCACTCTTGGCAGTGTTTGGATCTCGTGTTTAGTGTTAAACTCTGCAGAGTGCAAAAATCTGGGTTAAGTCTGCTGTAGAAAATGCATTTGGTTCATAGAGCTGTGCCAGATTTTTTTTTCCAAAGTTGCATGTTTACTTAGATCACCTTTTTAAAGCCAATATGTGAAATATCTACGTATATTCAGTAAATGAAATGTATACACAACTGAGTATCAGTTTTGACATGGGGCAGAACAAAAATAAAAGAAGTGCTAGGTTGAACTTTGTAGATCACTGTAGTTTACCATACTGTCTATTAAAATTTAAAAAAAGAGTATACAGATAAAATTATTTTTATCCCCAGGACAACAACCTTACATTCAACACAGATGACCCAGACTTGACCAGTTGTTTCCAGAACACAGTTCTAATCTGGATCCCATGTTTTTTCCTGGTTGTGACCTCCGTCTTCAGTGTGTATTCACTGCTGCACAGTCAAAAGAGCTTTATTCCTTGGACCTGGCTGAACATCACAAAAACGGTAAGAAAATAAACATTTTTATTTCAAGTATGTGATATCTGTTTTGGTATTGGTTAGAAATCAAAAAGATTAAATGCAGTTTCCAGTTTCGTAGATTAGTTTAACGTTATTAAAAAGCATTAAAATGCTTGACTAGTAATAACAAAGTGGGAACTAAGTAAGGCTGACATAGAAGAGGGAACTTGATTTCAATAGAATGTGAATAATTTTACATGTTGTTATGGATCACATTCACACGTCTTTAGATGTTTCACAGAGATGTGAATTGTAGGTGTAAACAATCTGAATTATTGCTGAAAATTTGATTAAAGGATTTATCTCTCAAATATTTTTTCCTGATAATTGTTAGGTCTTGGGATGTATTCTAGCAGTCTTGGCATTTGCAGACTTGTGCAATGCCATACATATAAGTTCAACAGAGGGAGCTTATGGTGTAACTATAGTTTCACCAGGGATGGTCTTCCTAGCCATGGTGCGTATAACTATCACCAATTTTTTACATGAACTTGCATTAAGAGAAGTAAAACATGTTGGTTTAAGTGGGGTTAATACTCCATAAATTAATCATGATAGTTCAGGAATGATACATGAATTCAAAAATGTTGAAATATTTGAAAACAAATAATATTAGACCTGAAAATATAATATATAAGTTATGTACACTATTTATAATGAAGTTTCACTAAGATAGTTAGTCTGATATAGAATTGCTGCACTTGCAGGTATGGGCTATTGCTTACCACCAGATTGAAAGGAAAAAAGGAGTTCAGTCATCAGGCATACTCTTCATATACTGGCTTCTGTGGGTTGCAGTCGATATCTTCATATGCAGATCAAAGGTCAAATTTCATTTACTTATGGTAAGTTAATTTTTTATTCAAACTATTAAATGGTTCAAATATGGACATTGCTGTGGGTCATGCATGAGTAGACTTGAAATAATTTAATTGAATCAGACTGATATAGTCAATGTCTATATTACCTGGTGCGGCATGTAGATATCTTAGTTATGTATATAATGTTATGATTTATTGCCTAATGTATTTGAATTATTTCATTATTGGATTTATTTTTTGTCACATCACAGAAGTCAGTAGACATGTCTACATGTAATTGGTAGAGGTAAAATGCCAAATAAATCCAAAATTTTAATTAAGTCATTCAAATAAAAAAAAAAAGGACGTGTTGTAAAATATATAACTGTGATACAGACACCAGTGGTTGTTACTATGAGATAATTTGCAAGAACATTTTGAAACTTTTCCAGGGAGAACCAGAGGACATGTTTACATTTGTGACCTTCTTCCTTCATTTCGCTCTGGTTGTTGCCCAGCTGATTCTGTCGGTGCTTGTTGACAAACCCCCCGTCTTCTCTGAAGTAGGAGACCAGGTTGGTATATAAATGGATTTGATTATTATTGTCTAAAGGTTTATTGTTTTTAACTTGTCCCATCAGATTTACATGAAGTTTATAAAAAGAAGTACAAGGGTTTTGGTCACGAGATGTTCAGTCAGTTTCCATCTTTGTATGATGTAATTATAGGTCCTTGAAGCAAATTTTTTCCAGTTTTCATAACAATAATATTTTATGATGTACATCACCTGTTTGAGTATCAAGTCCGTGTAAAGTATTAATTATTCTTCGTAAGTTTACTGTCTGCTTAACTTTGATGATACTCTGACCTACTTTATTCTTCTCCAGAAGCGGTGTCCAGAGGAAACTTGTTCTTTCTTGTCTAGAATTACATTTTGGTGGTTTACTAGGTAAGGAGATTATAGATAAGAATAAGATATTATAGTTATTTTTAGCAATTAACCATAAAATACCCCCAAAACTCTATTATTTCAGACAACAAAATATTGAGACAGTTGATAATCTTGAATAAGTATTAGTTATTCACAAAAACAGTTGAATGGATCTCTCAGCTAATATGCATTTTTCGAAGTAGTCTAATTTGTCTCTCGTTTATTGAATTTATTTAACTTTTTTTTTAGATTTTGTGAACAGTAGGAGATACAGACCCAATTTGCTGAATATTATATTCTTAAGTTTAATTCTTTTAGAATTCATGACCTTTGGGAATGCTGTGCACATTGAAATTTTATCTTTTATTTCAGTATGGTAATCCAGGGATATAGGAAGGCCCTGGAAAGAAAAGATCTATGGCCTTTAAATACGTCAGATGCATCTAGAACTGTAGTGCCTAAATTCTACAAGCACTGGAATGCAGAACTGAAGAAAAAAGAAAAGTAGGTTTTAGTGGTGGAATATGCATTCATTGCACACTGAGTGTTGTGCTATTTATTTCAAGAGCAAATCAGAAAACCAAAAAACTGTCTCCTACTCGGGGTTCAATTGAACCTTGCACTTGAATAAGAGGGTATCATGTCTAATGAAGTAACTTAGTTCTAAACAAATCATGCTTTACCATGTGTTCCTGACATGTTGGAAAGAGCATTTACAATACTTTTATATGAGGGGTTTTATCGTTTGTAAGGTCTGAATTGGGAAAGATGAGATGTATAGATCTAAGGGTATAACTTGAGGACATTTTTAGATATCTGTAGTATATCTTCGACAAAAGGTTTATTTTCCTTCTTTTTAAAAAGGTTATAAAACCATGCTTCTTGATAGCTGTCTGCATTTTTGTGATGGACATAACAAAACCTCATCACTGAATATTTTTGTCATTTTACAGGTGTTTGGCAAAATCAGGATGTCCAAAAAATGGTGATATTCCTTTAAAGCGTCAAGATGGTGACGATTCCAAATATGTTGAGGTGGATGTTCATCCCAAGTACTACCCTTCCCTGTTCAAGGCACTGTGCAAGACATTTGGACTGGCATTTGCTGGCTCAGCCTTCTTCAAATTTATCCATGACATAATGCTTTTCATTAGCCCACAGTTGCTGAAGTAAGTTAGAAACTGTATTGTTTGTTGGCTGCGTTAGACAACAATTCTACATTTTACTATGTTAGGACTTATTAACATAACTGCTGTATGACATAAACCATCAGACAGACAGACAGACAGACATGCACGCACACTCATGCACGCACACACAGTTATAATTATTTTAGGGACAGAACATATCAGTGCAAATAAACATCTCATTGAAGTATATTTTCTGAATATTTCTATTATTGCTTAAATTGTAATCAGTTATAAGGACCTTGTTTTTTTTTTTACACACACTGCTTTCATTAACATACTAGGTTATTAATCAAATTCACGAGGGATAAAGAGGATTACCTGTGGAAAGGTTTTGTGTATGCTGGGTTGATGTTTGTGTGTGCTTTGGTGCAGTCCTTGATTCTCCATCAGTACTTCCATGTGTGCATGGTGGTGGGCATGAGACTGAGAACAGCTGTAGTAGCTGCAGTATATAGAAAGGTAATTAAAAAGAGCAATATTAACTTTGGTTCAGACTTATAGTTCAATCTTTATTTGTGTCCTTCTACATTCCCTGTTTCCTCACAATTAAAAAAAGCATAGAAGATCCACAGTTTGTTCTACACTGATCAGAGAGAGTACTTGTCATATGTCATATTTATTCACTGTTTGATCATAACATTTTATGTTTTATTGAAAAGGCTCTTGTACTGACCAGTGCTGCAAGGCGTCAATCTACTGTAGGAGAAATCGTTAATCTGATGTCCGTAGATGCCCAGCGTTTTGTAGACCTGACCACTTACCTGAACATGCTGTGGTCTGCACCGTTCCAAATCTCAGTGTCTCTCTACTTTCTGTGGCAGACCCTGGGGCCTTCAGTGCTGGCAGGACTGGGGGTCATGGTGCTGCTGGTACCCATTAATGCCTTCATGGCCACCAAGACCAGGAGCCTACAAGTAAGATGTTTTCCAGGTGTACTTATGTTTGGATGTTGTGTCTATAAGCTTTATCAGGGGGGTTAAATTAGTGGGTTAGAATTATATTTATGTAATTTGAAAATTCTTGCTTATTTATAATTAACCAAACTGAAAAGAATTTGTTGTTGAAAATCTTGATGTGAAAGACTCTGAAATATATTAGTTCAGGGTGCTTGTTCAAAACATGCTTCTCTGATTTAAGGTGAAGCAGATGAAGCACAAGGACACACGTATCAAGCTGATGAATGAAGTTCTTAATGGAATCAAGGTTAGTTGGAGTCTGAAAAACCCTTAATTTGTTTTAATTTACAGCTTATAAAGCATACACTTACACACTTATACTTGAATGACAAAAATGTACACAAGTAGACATTATATCTACAATCACAATGTCATGTGCAATGTTATTAAATACATGCAAGACAGAAATGAAACAACTCAGATTGTTATTAGAATAACTTGAAGTTACATCCTTTCAAACATAACAAATCAAGATTAAAACACCCAAATCCTACTCAAAGTGTCAACAAAATTTTATTGACAAGTTTCAGGATTCTTTTCCCTTAGATTTTAAGTTTTGTTGCAATTCACAGAAATAATATTAGAATATGCTTCAATTGCCACTGGTGGTTTGGTATGTCTGGTGATGACAACCGCACCATGTTTTATCCAGGTGTTGAAGCTATATGCCTGGGAGATATCATTCAGAGACCAGATTCTGGGTATTCGAGACAAGGAGCTGAGGGTGTTGAAGCAGGCAGCCTACCTCAATGCTGGGACATCTTTTACCTGGACATGTGCTCCTTTTCTTGTGAGAATTGCATAAGCTCAATCTAGATCTTTTTGTCAAATACAGTATTTGTAAAAAAAATTACATTTACATGATTGGGCAAGAAATATAACACTAGTGTCAAAAACATTTCTTAAGCCTGAATCATTTCATTTTTGAACATAAATGTATGATATTAAGTCCAGTTCTGACATTCAGATATCCTTGGCTGTATTTTTTCTGTTCTTTCCGTCCTTATTTTATAAGCATTTGCATTCCTTGCATTCCTAGAAAGATTGCTATGAATATTTTTCAGGTCTCATTGACCACATTTGCTGTGTATGTCCTGTCTTCCCCGTACAACATCTTGACTGCAGAGAAAGCCTTTGTGTCTCTCTCCCTTTTCAACATTCTCAGGTTCCCCCTGGCCATGTTACCCATGTTGATTTCTAATATCGTACAGGTGAGTGATAGAATTGGATTCACTTGATTTTGAATTTTACTATTATTATAATATTTTTATTATACATCTTATACATAATTTCATGTCAATGTTTTCATTTTTTATAATTGGTATAAAATTTCAGAATTATTTACCTAATCTTCACAGTAACTGTTGTAGCCTGCTTTTGCTGTATGCCTTCAAACATCTTCTCTGTAATGGATACCTGATATTAAACCTTGTTTTTTTTTTGTTTTGTTTTGTTTTTATAGGCCAGTGTATCTGTGAAACGTGTGACCAAGTTTCTAAATCATGATGAGTTAGACATTAGTTGCATTGATAAAAAGGAAATGCCTGGTTTGTATTATTTTATAATTATATAATAAGCATAGAATAAGATGTAATATCCGTGAATTTTTTGGTCTGATAAAACTCAACATCGACATAATATTGTTCAGTTATGTAATCCATGGTTTTTGATCAAAGGAGTAAATGAAAGTAGTAAAAGAGTAAAGGAAATATATCAACAATCAGATGACAAACAAAATGACTGCTGACAGTGATGTTATCTTTTAGAACAATGATATTTGAGTTTTGAATAATATCGTTAAACAATAATTATGGATTTCCATTTCGGTCATACTCTTGTTTCACAGTCAACAATTATATATTATTTTCCAGACAAAGCCATTGTAATGGACAAAGGCACATTTTCATGGGACAAGGAGGAAACTCCAACATTATGCAGGTGAGTTTTTTGTGATATAATTGAACATGACAGTGATTATGATATGATTTGCATTAAACTTACACAGTGTTAAGAGTGAAATCAAAAAATATCATTCCTTTTATTTTTGTATGAACATTTTTTAAAAGGTTACAAACATTTAAAAAGTTACATTTGATTTCAGCATCAACCTTGATGTTGACCGTGGTCAGTTGGTGGCAGTAGTGGGCAGTGTGGGCACTGGGAAATCTTCACTTCTTTCAGCTCTGTTAGGAGATATGGCCAAGGTTGAAGGGACAGTTAAAGTTTCAGTAAGTTCATTAAGTAGGACAAACAAATGTACAGTAGTTATGCAAACAAAAAGAATATTATTTCAGATATATTGCTTGTTTAGATTCAAAGTGAAGGCCCTACTATTATTTACTTTTCTCAGGACTTTTACTAAACATGCCTTACAGTATTTTATCAAAGGGAAAAATGAGGTCTTACTGAAAGATAAAATCTAAACTTTTGGTTTGTTGCAGGGTTCAGTAGCTTATGTCCCACAGCAGGCTTGGATACAGAACTGTTCTCTCCGTGACAACATCTTATTCAGCAAGCCCCTGGTGGAGTGTGATTACTACAAGGCCCTCAGAGCCTGTGCTCTGGACAGAGACCTGGAGGTCCTGCCCAGTGCTGACATGACAGAGATTGGAGAAAAGGTAAGCCCAAATCAAACTGGGTGGAAACCAACTTTTCATTGTATTGAAAAGAGGAGGCAGAATAGTTTATGATGATATTGAGATTTTGGTTCCATCAGTTTTAAAGATCAGAACAGTTGTCTTTTGCTTTAATATTTTCAATTAGCATAGATTTTATATAATGTTCATGTTAGTTGAGAGAAATTCTGCTATAAATATCTTTTCTATATTCAGGGTATCAACTTGAGTGGTGGTCAGAAGCAGCGTGTGAGTTTGGCCAGAGCTGTGTACTCCAATGCAGATATCTACCTCTTGGATGACCCTCTTAGTGCAGTGGATGCACATGTTGGCAAACACATCTTTCAGAATGTCATTGGGCCAGAAGGAGTGCTGAAAAACAAGGTATATAAAACCAAGTTTGTCTAGCTCTCTAGCACAGGAAGGTCACAGACAGCAGACATTGTGCTGGTATTAACCTGATAGTGCTTCTTTATATTGAGTAGTACAAAATTTTTCTCACATTTAAAGTAGAAGTATATAACAATTTGTTTAATAGATTAGAAAAAGAAAATATTGAATTTATTTGATAAATGGTGAGACTTTTAAAAGCTGATGGTGGAGATCACTTTTAAGATAAGGACCTGTATGAGTTGCGAACAAGAAAGGAAAAATTGACTGCTACCAGACTGTGTTTTTCAGACCAGAATTCTTGTGACTCATGGCATTGGGTTCCTCCCTAAAGTGGACACCATTGTTGTGTTAGCAAACGGCAGTGTATCTGAGTGTGGAACATTCAATCAATTAATGGACCATCAAGGAGCTTTTTCAGAATTCTTGAAGAATTACCTCTTGGAGGAGGAGATCGAGGGAGAGCTGGAGGAAATGGACGATGATGGTCAGTGGCCTTTAGATTTTCAGGACTTTTTGAAAATTGGTGAACAAGGTTTTTGAATAACCTAGCAAAAGCATACAAAACTATTGTTATAATGGAGGAAAATCAGTGGGACTAAAACCTTTGTGTTGAATTTAATGGTTGCATATTACCCTAGATTCTGTAGAAAAAAAACTATAGTTTTCACTGCTTGATTCTAGTCGAGGACAATACCAGTTGTAACTTAAAAGATCAAGGCTACAGCAGTAACATGTACACTTTGATCTTTTTGGGCAACTAAGATTGGTTTATTGCTTTGAGTTGAAATTTACAGATTCCCGATTAACATTTGTGGATCTTTTCTTTTCAGTTCGCAGTGAGCGTGAGGAAATAATGTCACATATTACTGAGCTGTATGGAGAGAGAGAACTACAGAAGTAAATATTATTGGCAGTAGCTAAATTTCATTGTTTTTTTTTTTCAGCTTGATAGGAGCTTTTTAGAAATGAAGAAGTGTACATAATTAGATATTTTTCTTTGTGATTTTCATTAATGCAGAATTTTGGAACTCAATAAACAACAATTAGTAAATTAAGTAATTTTAAAACATTTAAACTGAAAGTTGTATCTTAACATGCTTTCCCAGAAAAGGAGTTTAACTGAGTCATGTTTAGTATATGTGAGTATTTTTTTATTCACAGGACCAAGAGTGAGCTAAAAGCCAGCAAAACATCACTAAATAAGACAGACACAGCAGAAGCAAGGGAATTTTCATCAAAGACAAGTTTACATTCAAGTAAGTCCAATTGAAAAAATCTATTTTATAAAATGTTTAAATACTTCCGTAATTAGTTCCTTATTTTATCAGCCATATTACCAGCATTTTATCACATTTTGCTGCCAAAATTTTGGGTATGTTTTCTTAAACTTTTTACAGTTTACAAAGTAACATGAGTATTTTCAACTTGATTTAGCATTTTGCTAAAAAACAGAAGTGAATATCTCAAAACTATCAGTGGAATGCTCTGTTGCTCCTTATTTGCTTACTCTTTTGTGTGACAAGTATTTTGTTAAGCTGCTTTGTATTTTCTGCCATGATTTACCAATTAGCCATTAAATCCCCATATGGATCAGGCAACACAATATTCCCTATTACAGAATTTATCTGCTAGTAATAAATTCCTTCAAGTTAACAGGTGATACTTGTATTATAGATCCCAGAGAAAGAGTCTCTTCAGTGTCCAGTAGGAAGAGAGAGAGGGTGTCTTCAGTGGGCAGCAGGAAGAAAGGGGACCTGGATGAGGGGGATATCCCACTGGAGGTGGAAGATTACGCTGCCCTGAAACGCCAGGTGTCACAGTATGATGAAGGAGTGTGTACACCGCCTCCTGCCCTCAGGAAGAAACAAGTGGAGGCAGAAAAACTAATTAAAGCAGAGACAGCAGAGACTGGCAGTGTGAGATATCTGTCCTCATATCCATTCATTATTAACGAGGATGTTTCATAAGTAAACAGTCTGACGATTTTCATTAGTGTAATTGGTGATTTGATAATTTTGATACAAAGTATTTTACGATTGAACTAAATTGATTTTTTTTTTTGTATGCTTGAATATTTTTCCTCATTTCCAGGTGAAGCTTTCTGTGTTTATAATCTACATGAAAGCTATAGGGCTTTGGGTAACACTGGCTGTTGTATTTCTCTATATCCTCAACAATGCAGCTGCCATATACTCCAATGTATGGCTCAGTGAGTGGAGTAATGATGAGGCCATTAATGGAACAACTGATACAGCCCAGAGAGATCTACGGTTGGGTGTCTATGGAGCTTTAGGTCTTGCTCAAGGTATGGTTTGTGTTTTTTCAAGATAAGACTTGTTTTTAGTAAAGGACTATTGTTTTGGAATGATTCAGTTAACAATTTTTAAAAATTAAGAAAAAAGAAATTAATGTCAGGCATCTTGATTGATGCAGGGTTTGTAATCTGCAATAGTCCTTTTCCAAATTTTATATTTTGTCTCAGCAGTATAATGTTTAAGTTGTTCATATTTAGATAACAAGCCAAACGTAGCTTGTATGAAATGTAATAATGATATTCCTCCTGTTGTGGCGCTGTGACCCCATCAACTGGCTGTGAGTTAATGAACTGATTCAAAATACTTACATACTGATAGATGTGTGAAGAGGTGTTGCCTTCACCCAGAGCATGACTACCTCAGATTGCTTAATTTTTTTATTTTTTATTTTTTTTTTTGGCTTGACTGCCGTAATTTTTCTTATGGAAGATGTAGTCACCAATCCCACCACTAGGAGGTGCAGTCAGAGCATTAAAATGAAATTCATTGTTCGAGTAACTTTTTGAATATTTATTTCCTGTTGATGAGGAATGGTTATTCATTAAATATTTAGTCAAGAGCTTTGTTTTATATAATTTGTCATATATAATGATATATTACTGATAATATGTCATCATCAGTAATATATCATCAGTAATATATAATGATATATTACTGATGATGACATATGATTCTAGTTATAATCAGTATGAACAATTTTCTTGCATAATTCGGGTTTTGGAATTCCTTTTACAGGTTTTAATCGGTAGATAGTTCTGCTTTTAGTAAAATTTAAAAAATGGAGATGTGCAGTTCCACGCAAAAGGTGATAACTTGGTTGAAAGCTTGAACTGTCATAGAATATCATTTCAGGTTTTCTAGAGATAGCCAGTGCTTTCTCTATGGCAATGGGAGGTTTAAAGGCTTCCAGACATTGGCACGCCAAACTGGCAGATAATCTCCTTCATGTCCCAATGATATTTTATGATAGCACACCCGTGGGTAGACTGTTAAATAGGTTCTCTGGGGACATGAACACTATAGACCAAGTCATGCCTTTTACTGTGAGATCCATGCTCAATACTATCATCATAACCTGTGGGACCTTTGCTGTGATAGGATCTACAACTCCCACTGTAATAACTGTGATACCTGCACTAGCTGTGATATATTTCTTTGTACAGGTACTTGATGTTTACCAAAGTACTTTCCTTAAGCTTTCTTTTAATGTTCTGTCAAAGCTAAACAGGAAGACTGGGTAAAGGGGACCCCATGATCAGTGTTTATTTGCAATTGGCTTATTTAAAAAATGGGACGTTGTCTGGGAGCAAGGGGATGGTATTAGAGAAGTTTGCAATGGGATGTTTGAACCTGCATGTAAGTTTCCTTTAGATGGGTACTGACATTGAACATCAGTATGGTATCTGCGCTTCAATTGACAATTTATTTGGGGAGTTCTTTTGCAGGCATTTTTTTTCTATTTAAGTCAGAATTATGACATTTGAAAGTGAACTAGTATGAATCCCATTAAAAATGTTTTTGATTAAATTTTAGGATGTCATATGATGATAATAATAAGACACTGTTTCATGTTCTCATTGTTCCTGTTTCTTGCAGCTGTTTTGACCCTCATCTCTTCAGTAGGGCTAGCTTTTGGTTGTATTTTTGCCTCTTCACGCCTTCACACAGAACTGTTAGCCGGGGTAGTCAGGGCACCTCTTGTCTTCTTTGAAACAACACCTCTAGGCCGTATTGTTAACCGGTTTAGCAAGGACATTGACACCATTGATATTACCATTCCTGACAAAATTGAAGATCTTCTTTTTGTTGGGTTTGAAGTTTTGGCCATTCTGGTAGTTGTAACATTCAGTACACATCCGCTGTTCCTTGCTGCCATCCTACCACTTGCCATCTTATATTTCTTTGTACAGGTAAATCTACTGCTGTAGTGGCATGTTGCATGAACTCGCCTATATGCTTTCATGATGCCTATTGTTTTTTTTTTTTTTTTTTTTTTTTTTTTTTAATGACAATAACACCCATACAGACAATACTGTTCTGAGCTATCTGTTTAGTTTAGAAAATGGGGAAACCTAGACTCATTTTATTTTAAAATGGTGTTTGGAAGTAGCTTCAGGGTCTCTTCCACTATTACTCTTCTTATCTGTCTAATAATTCCACATTTCCATCTTCTTAGTACATTGCAGCTTGACAGCTTTTTTGTTGCTTTAATGTTCATGCTTGATTGTGTGTGTTTTGTTTTATTTTATTTTTTACTTGTTAGCAAAACTGGCCCATCTAGACAATATATGGCATGATAAGAATGCATTACTACAGCACTGATATATATATATATATATATATATATATATATATATATATATATATATATATATATATATATATATATATATATATATATATATTTTACTGCATGGTGTATTTTTGCTCATTCTTATTTCTTTGTTTGTATTGCAAAATAGGTTTTATTTCATTGCACACTGCACACTCTGGCAGCTTGGGCATGAAGTATTATCACTAACCAACCTGCATGCAATAATACCTTTTGTAAGGGGTGATTTTTTTTTTCCATTCGATACAGGATTGGTATTGATGTGTGCGTCTTTCCTGGCAGCCTTGGGTATGGTCTGGGCATCACAGTTCCTACACCATGGAATGATGACAAATATATTGCATTGCCCACAGTCATTCTTTGACACAACCCCCCTTGGGAGAGTCACTAACCGTTTCTCCAAGGATATTGACATCATAGACATCATCATTCCCCGCAGTGTGACAGCGTGGATATCAACTGTTCTTAATTCAATCGCCAGTGTCATTGTCATCAGTTACAGCACACCTATATTTTTGAGTATTGTTGTACCTGTGGCAGTCTTATATTACCTGGTCCAGGTATATTTAGTTATGATATTATTAAACTACAGGTGCTTAATCCTTACTTGATATAGCGGTGTGTGTATGCATCACATAATCTAACTGAGTGCTTGTCCCTCAAATTTATCAAAAAGGGCCTTTGTTAAGTGTGAGCTAGTTCTTCACATATTGTAGGGTGCTTAAACTCGCATCATGAGGTGGGGTGCTAAATCTTTATATTTGTTTATTTGGTTTTCTCTTCCCCACCTTATGAAGTGGGCAGCCTAATTCTCACTTTATAAACCAGAGTGCTTGTAATCATCATTTTGCTTTGATATGTATCTGCAAGAGTTTGAAGTGTTTTTGAATTATGGTATTAATTTCCTGCCCCCTAGATCTCTAGTATCTCATAGTTGACCCTGCAGGTACTTGTGTTGTAGCTGCCATGTAGAAAATATTTTTTTTTATTTCCTTCAGGCGTGTTTGTGCTCATGTCTTCCTTTGCCCTCTCCCTTGGTGCGATCCATGCCTCAGGAATACTACACACAAACTGCTTAAACAATGTTCTCAAATCATCAATGGGGTTCTTTGACCAAACACCCATGGGAAGAATCCTTAACAGATTCTCCAAAGATGTTGACACGGTGGATGTCAACTTGAAAGACAAACTGAGAGCTTGGCTTGGTTGTTCGTTCTCTGTGCTCAGCACCATGCTTGTGATAAGCATTAGCACGCCATTGTTTTTGACAGTTATTTTTCCTCTGGGATTATTTTATTTTTTTATACAGGTAAAAACTTGCAAAGTATCACATAGAAGTGTGATTGTATGTGCATGTTTGTTATGATAGATGTTGTGTCTTAGTGATCTTTTCAGTTGGTATAGGTTTTTTTTGTTCTTAACACTGTGTTGTGGGAAAGTTCTAAAACACATTTGAACAGTCTGTTTAGATTTTAAAAGAGGTGCACTTTGTAAAACTTTATTAAAAACTCATACTGAAAATTTTACCACCCATGCCTTAATATTTATACGAACAGTCTTAAATTTTGCATGCAATCTAACAAACAGCCCCAGTTTACTGTACTGTACTGCCTAAAGGGATTTCTTAAATAATTTTCACAGCAGTATCATGCATGAAAATGTGGTGTGCCTGCCAGTTGTATGTAACAAGGTTGGAGTTGTATATGTTTGGTTTGGGTCAAACTTGGGTATGTTGTACATGTTACGGGTGTGTTTTCCTTGTGCTCTGTAAATCCTGAGGAACAAAACAGGGAAAAATTACATTGGTTCACAGGGATTTTACCACCTGTTCTCCACTTATGTCCAGGAAGCAGGATAATAGAAAAAAAAGCATAAATATGTTATTGGTGCACTAGATGTGTCATGATTTAATGTAACTGATGGCTTAAGTCTAGTTTATCAAATGTGTCATATCAGGTATGTTTGGTAAGAGGAGATGGTATGGATGTTTAATGTCTCTGGTTATTCTCTCTCAGTCTAGCATGATATATGTAACACTTGGTTAAAGTGGGATTTGATTAGAATGAAAAGAATGAATGTATGAATGTTTTTAGTCATCTAGTAGAATTAAGATGAGAATTATTTATTAACCCTGATACTGAAACCTTCATTAGCAAATGACCAATTTTTGTGGTCTTAACCTGGGACCTTTCCCTAGGTAAATGACCTTGATGGACTGGTCACTTGACTTATGTTATACGGCTAGGAATAGTCTCTAGTGCCATGTCATGGCAATGTCAGTAACGGTATGACAATAGGTCATGACTATAAGTTTATAATTCTATGACATGCCCACCAAGTTGACTTGTGGTACTGCCAAGTTTGAAGGTATGAAATTGTATATCACACTGACATATTTCTACTGTAACCAATATCTGTAGTGAAAAACTCAAGGAGGAGGAAGTTTGGCAGGCAATACATTAAGGTGTTTAAGAAGAGCCACTCTTTTATATTACTAGCTATTGGTTCATTTGTAAACTTTACTTTCTCTTCAAGCATATAGGCCTGCCTAACTGCTACTCATGATTTTGAGCATTACAAATATACCACGTCTAACAACCTACCAATATCCCTCTCAACCATGCAGATATATTTTGTGCCTCACCATACCCAAACATATATATATATATATATATACGCACACGCACACACGTTTTGATCTGAAATCAAATTTTAATATAGGAGCTACCTTAATTGCATTCTGGTTTCCGTGTATCCTTTTCATGATATATTGAATCATGGGCCAAATGTGTATTCCTCTCACCATCTTAGTTTCAATCACCTTGCTAGCGGCCCAATTGAATTTTACTCTTGACAGAGTAATGCTTTAATTATATCATGATGATTGTTGCATTCATGTGGAAAACAGTTATATTAATTCAGATGTACCAGTTTTTGCCCCTTTATCCTGCAAATAAATATGATAATGTGTAGGTATATATATATATATATATATAAGGATGCTCTAACAGAAAAAAATGCTGTGCACAGTAATTGATTACAGGTGTTGAACTATTTCTAGGCAAGAACGCTCCAAGTCTCCTAGGCTGTGGAGGCCCAAATTTTTGAGTGCCAAAACAAAATATATCTGTATGGTCATATAGAAAGTCAGTATGTCAAAATGGCACTACAACTGTAAAATTGTTTTGAAATAGTGATATAGCTGTCAGGTAGTTAGGCAGGCCTGGTATAGATCTAACTACATTTAAGTCTTCCTAATTTAAGAATTGTAATACTTCAAACTTTTTCCCCTCACTTATTGCCTTCATTTGCTCTGTAGGTTTACTTGTGTACTTGGGATCCTATTGTCTGGCCAGGGGCAGCATTAAAGCATGTACACTCCTGCATTTTGGCTTCTTAGATAACATCCTGAAGCTTCCTAGTATCTTCTTTGACCAAACGCCTTTGGGGAGAATCATGAATCGATTTTCCAAGGACATTGATACAATAGATGTTGTTCTGGTGGAGAAAATACGCATCTGTCTAGTCTGTGTGCTCAGTGTACTCAGCACCATACTGGTTATTAGCTACAGCACACCACTGTTCTTAGTGGTTTTTCTTCCTCTTGGAGTTTTCTATACATTTATACAGGTAATGGAGGTTTGATTTTATTTCTTTTTGATACAGTTTTGGGTTTACTGTTGAAAACTACTACATTTAACTTGTAACACAAGATTGAGGATTTTTCTGTTTAAAATTCATGAGAAAGGTTTTGAATGAAATGTTAAAAATATAGGTGGAATGTAAGGGAGGGAAAGATATAATTACCTTCTTGTTCAGCATTCTCTGTTACCGATTCAATGAAGAGTCAGATTTGCTACAGCTCTGAATATAACCAAGTAACATGAAAAAATATTATGTTCAATTGACTCTACAAATTCTTACCAGATGGCCAAAAAAGATATTCTTTAATTATGTCTGAAATTTTAAAAAGGATTCAGTTAAAGTAAAGCTATGAAGAAATCCAGTGCCTGATATCTCTCTCTTGTGATTATTCAGTTACATGTAGTTAAGTCATTTAATTAGTATGACTATAAATAATGATTATCGCATGTGCATGCGGGGAAAATGGTAAGAAAAGTTTGTGGAAGGATTAGAAAGATTAAATGAAAAGTTTGCCTGTTTGCAGGCTGTTATGCTTGTTAAGTTTTAAAACTGCTCTTCCTTTAATTACATTTATTTCAATAGTGATGCAGGTTTTCAGTTTCTTTTTTGTGAAAATTATGTAACATAATCATTGAAATGGTTTATGTTTTTGGCTCCCATTTTTCTTGATAGAAGCTTAATGCACAGTGACTTTTTGGTCCCTATTGAGCACAGTCATTTTTTGCTGAACTGTCTTCCCTGATTTGATCATGGGATTTAGCCTTTCTAATGGAATCCCATGGCACTCCTTTTCCCCTCTCCATAAGCTGGAGATACTGTTTTATTCATCACACTATGTCATCCCAATTATGGTAGGCTTCCTTACCATCTTGTTCAATAAGATACCTTCACCTTCCTAAGAGTGTGCGTGTGCACATGCGTGTGTGCATGCATGTGAATGTGTTACTAGACTAAGTATGCTATTCCTGGGGTATTGTTGATACTTGGCATGCACTTCAGTGTGGTTTAGTGCCTACCAAATGGTGCATCTGACAAAAACTGTCACAGAGGCTTTGAAAAGAGGGCTGTTAATCAAATCAATTCGCAAAAAACATACCTGTTCATTAAATTTGTCGTTGTGTCATAATGGCAGTGTTAAAGTGAGTGTGACTGTATATATGATGACGAATGAAGATGTGGCCCAAACCAAACATGATGATCTACCTATTTCAGTGTTCTGTTAAAATGGTACAAAATCTAAACAATATCATATTTTCAAATTTATTTCTTTAAAAGATGCATGCATTGAAATAGCTGTAGAGTCATATTCACCCTTATTTAATAATCAAAGCTATTTGCATGTTATATTTAAATCTTTGCTTCAAAATGTTTATGATTCCCATCTGGCTTCTCGGCATGAGTTAGATATTCTGCCATATCCTTTGTTTTAATTATTCAAAATCACTCAAAGAGGGGTGGCCACGGGACTGGTCAAAATACACCCAAGCAATAATTTGATATAGTTGAATTTGCTGCAGTATTGTCTGTACATTGATTGACGGTGCTGTACAGTTTTCTTTATGTACAGACAGATAGTATCTGTGCATAAAGTCCCATGTGTCTGTCGTCACTGTAAGCGTTGTCAGTGTTGCTGTGCACTTTCAGGGATAACACAATAAGTGGAAAACCATTTATTTCAACCTTTTGTCTTCAAACTTACAGAACTGATGGATATTCATAAAATACAGGTCAAGGGTCCAGTTAGTAAATCAATTGGGCTTTTTTATTAAAGTATATTTTGAAAATGAAATGCTAAATATCGCCCAAATCTGTGCTCTTATATGTCTGTACTTTGAACAGCTTTGCTGCTTGTTTCTTAGTAGTATTTGTATGATATTCTTTGTTTGGTAAAAGCTGCATTTTTAAGTTATATCTTTGCATTTGCTTTATTCAAATTGCTTTATGCGTATGTAAGAGAGCATGATGTTCTTGGAACTTTTCCAAAACTTTTCTGAGAATTTTTTTTCTGTGACAGTTTAACCAGATTATTAATGAGTTGGTGCATTCAAGTCCTGTTTATACAAGTAGACTGACTCCAAATTAAGATATGACTTCAGTGAAAGCATGTCACAGGACCAACATATCCAGTGATGTAGCTCAGGTGGTATATCCATTGGTTACTTTCACTTGCACATGTGGTAAATTATGTCCAGAAGACTGCCTCAAATTATATCTAAAAAATTAGAGATCAGACCAGATCTATCCTAAACATCCTGGAGTTAAGTGAAGGAAGTACTTGTATAAACTTGACTTTTTGTACCCAAACTTGCATGGGTGGTTTCCATAGTTTGTGGATATAGGACTTTTGAGTTGCTGTTTTGTTTTCTAGCTTGGTTTGTAGCATTTTGTTGGCCTTCTAGACATACTTGGTAACTATTGTGCATGCAGCCCTGTTTGAAGTTTTCACGTTCTGTCCCACTAACAGGTAACCTTGCACATTAATTAAAGTCTTTGTAGATTTAGTTATTCACTCAATGTTTTTGACCCATTAGAATTTCTCAGGCATGCATTTTAATAACAAAATGTTGGCTGCCACTCCAAAATACAAAGATTTGTTTGCTTGAAATTGTGAAATACACACAAATATCCAAAATCTTGGATTATTTGAATTTCTTACTGTAGTTCCCTTGAACTTGTGGGCACTAGGTGATTGGTCGGCCAATGGTCTTTGTATTTTGGGGTTTGTCAGTCTTCCTGTTTAGTTTTGGTTGCAGAAGTATAATGGTTTTGTCATGTAAAGTTATTTTACTGATATAAAGATTAAGCTTTGAAATTTTCAAGAATATTATTATTATTCAGTTTTACTAGTACAGTTTTATTTCATTCATTCCAAATGTATACTTGGCAGAATTATGTACCGTGACAATGGGAAAAGGGTGATGTTATAATAGTAATACATTTCTTGTAGAGATTTTATGTTGCCACTTCAAGGCAATTGAAGCGGTTAGAGTCCGTGACCCGCTCTCCTATATACTCCCATTTTGGAGAGAGTATAACTGGAGCTAGCATTATCCGAGCCTATGGACAAACAGAGAGGTTTATTCTCCAGTCAGAAGAGAAAGTGGATGAAAACCAAATCTCATATTATCCTAATATCGTATCTAACAGGTTTGTTGGATTTTACTTTTATTTTCATTATTTATTCATCTTTAATGATCAAGTATTTTTTTTTCAAGAGAATTCCATTTTCATTATATAGGCTAGGAAGTGATGAAAAAGCTTTACCAAGGATGATGTATGTTGCACTTTCAATAAATAATGTGCAACGGCCATTTTGCTCACATCTTCAAATCACCTTTATCATCGTTATAATGTTTGTCTTCACTCCTTTACTTTTTATAGATGGCTAGCCATTCGCCTGGAGTTCATTGGGAATTGCATAGTGCTGTTTGCTGCTCTGTTTGCTGTCATAGGCAGAGACTCTTTGAGTGCTGGAATTGTTGGCCTCTCAGTTACCTATGCATTAAATGTAAGTATAGACTTTATTTCCACAAATCCCCTTTTCCATGCTATTTTTTAGTTAATATGTCTCTTGAATTGTGTGATTAGTTATGCCAATTCTAATTTATGTAATTTTTATGTTGAAGTTTTAGCTTTTGTTTGAAAAGCAAACCTGGCAATTATAGGTTCTTTTTGTTTTCAATTTCCTTGATTGCGATAGGGTAAATTTGCCAATATTTGACAACTTTTGCATTTATTTCCATCCTTGTTATTTCAGATAACTCAGACATTAAACTGGATGGTGCGTATGACCAGTGAACTGGAAGCTAATATTGTGGCTGTGGAAAGAGTCAAGGAGTACTCTGAAACACCTACTGAGGTACGTTGCCTGGCATATACACTGAGTAAAAAGAAGGAGAACATAATGCCATTTGGGCTGTATCTTGTATTTTAATACAATGGTAGAATTTGTTAAGGCTTGTGTTAATTGCTTTGTATTAAAACTGAAATGGAAATTGTAGAAGTTACATATTTTAAAAGCACCTTTTTGTTGATTTAGATTAATCAGTGGCAAAACCATTGGTTTGCACTACTTGAATTTTTTGTTCCTTTTTTGGGGGGAGGAGGGGAGGGTAAATTGAAAAAAATTAGTAATCTTTCGAGCTTCTTTAAAGATGGAAGTTTCACAGAGAGGCCAGTCATTGCTAAAAAAGAGAGTTGCTGTAATATTTTTTTCAACAGTCTTACCAATGAATGGTGCATGTAAATAATTTGCTGCCAATAACACCTTGTTTATCATCAGGCTGAGTGGTTCATTCCTGAGAAGAAACCAGAGTCCAGCTGGCCACAGGAAGGCAACATTGTCATAGAAAACTACAGCACCAGGTACAGAGAGGGGCTCCCTCTGGTGGTCAAAAACATCAACTGCCACATCAAAGGAGGAGAAAAGGTAAATGTGGGGAAATATGGGAGAAATTTTTCATTGTGAGAATATGACAGCAGTGTTGTTTATATAGTTTAATATTCTTCTTTTATAGATTCATAGGAATATAAAGCCATTAGTTCTGTCATGAATATCTATAGGACCGTGGTAATTGAACAGAGTTTGAATGGTCTACTCTATTTTCAGATTGGCATAGTGGGTAGGACTGGGGCTGGAAAGTCTTCACTTACTCTGGCTTTGTTCAGAATTATAGAACCAGCTGAAGGGAAGATATTGATTGATGGTGTTGATATATCAGAGATTGGACTTCATGACCTCAGATCTAAACTAACAGTTATTCCCCAGGTAGTTCTTCTTCTTTATGATATAATATAGAGTGGATATTATTCTGGGGTTTTGCCACAGTGCATGAGCTTGCAATAAGTAGATGTTACAAATGTGGAACATTTTTGGATGAAAAAGGTGAGAAACAAAATATGAGTTTGGCTTATGATATTTGCTGATTTTTTTAGGAAATGATGCTTGTTGCAATGACAATTATCCATGGCATAAATCACAACCTTTAAACACATGGATGGATGAAAAAAGAAGGAAACATTATTACTGCTGCACCCCAAAATTCACATTTACAAGAATATGTGATGGCTAAATAATCACGCCTCTTTCTGTTTTTTTTTTTTTTCTCAGGATCCAGTGCTATTCTCAGGCCCCCTAAGGATGAACCTTGACCCTTTTGACCAGTACAGTGATGAAGAGGTCTGGAGAGCCCTGGAGTACGCTCACCTCAAGCACTTTGTGGCTGCTAATACAGAGGGCCTGGCGTATGAGTGCTCTGAAGGTGGAGAAAATCTCAGGTAGGACGGACGGGTTAACTATATCTGTTAGTCTTTTGTTTCAATAATTTGACTATAAATGTTGTAGGTTATTTGGATATTGATTATTGAGAGAGATGTAAATATATATTGTTTTCTCCCCATATATGTATGTTTATATTGCTGGGAGTATTATTAGCAAGAAGCTTTAAAACTTTCAATTTTCACCAAATGTGCATTTCATATTTCAATATTCTTGCATTTCAAAATTTAAAAAGAATTGGTGGGGTGAGAGGGGGGGATGAGTCATTGGATTTGTTACAGTGTACATTATATACATTTCCTTAATTTTGAAGTGTTGGCCAGCGTCAACTTGTGTGCCTTGCCCGTGCCTTACTACGCAAGACCAAAGTCTTGGTTTTAGATGAAGCCACTGCTGCAGTTGACCTGGAGACAGATGACCTTATTCAGTCAACTATCCGCACAGAGTTTGCTGAGTGTACTGTACTGACCATAGCTCACAGACTGAACACTATCATGGACTACACAAGGTAAGATAAGTAATCTAATAAGTAATAAGTAGGTAAAAGCTTTTTGCAATTGCGGATTAGTGAACACACTTTTTTAGAATCTGTATGTGTAATACAGCTATATTCATTTCATGGAAGAGTTAGGAATTGCTAATATTGAACAAAACTTGATGTCATTTTTGGAGAAAATAGAATTGAAGAATTACATGCAGCTTTGTCATGCAAATATGAAATAATATCATTATGCTTGTAGAATTCATTTATTTGTGCTTCTTCTAAGAACTTTGATACGTTGAAAGTGTTACCTTTTCAGGGTATTAGTGCTTGATAATGGAGAAGTGAGGGAGTTTGCACCACCCCAAGAACTCTTACAGGATCAAAATGGAATCTTTTACTCTATGGCCAAAGATGCTGGACTCGTGGCCTAGAAGCTCTCAAGATTGTCTACATGTACTTTTAAGAAGACAAAGACTGACTGGGCTTGGGGACATAATGGTGAAGCTGATATGAGTCAAGAGCTAATTACAGCATAAATCAGAATGATGTTGAATTGATTTTCTTGTTTTTGGAGAAGACATTTTTGGATATGACATTTTCAGTTTTGTTTTTTTTTTTTTTTTTTCAAATAGTTTTCATTGTTACAATACATATATATTTAATCATGTTTATAGTTGTGTACATGAAGCCTCTTACAGGCAAATACATGTATATGTATATGAAACAGGATTTGCAGGGTAGACTGACAATTCAGGTATGGGTGTCACTAGTCAAGAGCTCATGGCACAGATATTTTGGGTTCAACCCCTGNCTTGTTCTATAAAATAATGGCCTATATGGCCCTTTTGCTCACTCCTCCAAATTACCTTTATCATCATGATCATGTTTGTCTTCACTCATTTTCTTTTTATAGATGGTTAGCCATTCGCCTGGAGTTCATTGGGAACTGCATAGTGCTGTTTGCTGCTCTGTTTGCTGTCATAGGCAGAGACTCTTTGAGTGCTGGAATTGTTGGTCTCTCAGTGACCTATGCATTAAATGTAAGTATAGACTTTGTTTCCACAAATCCTCTTTTCCATGCCATTTATAAGTTAATATGTCTCATGAAGTATGTTATTAGTTATGCCAATTCGAATTTATGTAATTTTTATGTTGAAGTTTTAGCTCTTGTTTGAAAAGCAAACCTGGCGATTATAGGTTTCTTTTTGTTTTCAATTTCCTTGATTGTGTTTGGATAAATTTACCAATACTTGACAACTTTTGCATTTCTTTCCATCCTTGTTATTTCAGATAACTCAAACGTTAAACTGGATGGTGCGTATGACAAGTGAACTGGAAGCTAATATTGTGGCTGTGGAGAGAGTCAAGGAGTATTCTGAAACACCTACTGAGGTACATTGCCTGGCAAAGTAAAGAGAAGGAGAGCAGAGTGCCATTTTGGCTGTAGTTCTTGTATTGAACTAGTAGTATTTATTAATGCATGTGTTAATTACTCACTGTAGTAAAACTGAAATGAAAATTGTAGTAGTTTCATCTTTTTAAAGTACCTTTTTGTGGATTTAGTTAAATCAATGGCAATGCTGGAATTTTTTCTTCCCTTCTTTCTTTTTCCTTTTTTTTTTTTTGGGGGGGGGGGTAAATTGAAAAAAATTGGTAATCTTTTGAGCTTTATTAAAGATGGAAGTTTTGCAGAGGGGCCAGCCATTGCCAAAAAAAGAGTATTGCTATAAGATTTTTATCAACAGTCTTACCAATGAATGGTGCATGTAAATAATTTGCTGCCAATAACACCTTGTTTATCATCAGGCTGAGTGGTTCATTCCTGAGAAGAAACCAGAGTCCAGCTGGCCACAGAAAGGGAACATTGTCATTGACAACTACAGCACCAGGTACAGAGAGGGGCTCCCTCTGGTGGTCAAAAACATCAACTGCCACATCAAAGGAGGAGAAAAGGTAAATGTGGGAAAATATGGGGGAAAATTTTCATTGTGAGAATATGACAGCAGTGTTGTTTATATAGTTTAATATTCTTCTTTTATAGATTCATAGGAATATAAAGCCATTAGTTCTGTCATGAATATCTATAGGACCGTGGTAATTGAACAGAGTTTGAATGGTCTACTCTATTTTCAGATTGGCATAGTGGGTAGGACTGGGGCTGGAAAGTCTTCACTTACTCTGGCTCTGTTCAGAATTATAGAACCAGCTGAAGGGAAGATATTGATTGATGGTGTTGATATATCAGAGATTGGACTTCATGACCTCAGATCTAAACTAACAGTTATTCCCCAGGTAGGTCTTCTTTTATGATGTGTACTTCTAACAAAATATAGGGTGGAAATTATTATGGGGTTTTACCACAATACATGAGCTTGCAATTAGTAGATGTTACAAATGTGGAACATTATTGGATGAAAAAGGTGAGAAACAAAATATGAGTGTGGCTTATGATATTTGCTGATTTTTTTAGGAAATGATGCTTGTTGCGAAGACAATTATCCATGGCATAAATCACAACCTTTAAACACATGGATGGATGGAAAAAAGAAGGAAACATTATTACTGCTGCACCCCAAAATTCACATTTACAAGAATATGTGATGGCTAAATAATCACACCTCTTTCTGTTTTTTCTCAGGATCCAGTGCTATTCTCAGGCCCCCTGAGGATGAACCTTGACCCTTTTGACCAGTACAGTGATGAAGAGGTCTGGAGAGCCCTGGAGTATGCTCACCTCAAGCACTTTGTGGCAGCTAATACAGAGGGCCTGTCGTATGAGTGCTCTGAGGGTGGAGAAAATCTCAGGTAGGAAGGGTTAACTATATCTGTTAGTCTTTTGTTTCAGTAATTTGACTTTAAATGTTGTAGATTATTTGGATATTGATTATTGAGAGAGACGTAAATATATATATTGTTTTCTCCCCATTTATTTATGTTTATATTACTGGGAATATTTTTAAAAGTATTAGCAAGAAGCTTTAAAACTTTCAATTTTCACCAAATGTGCTTTACATATTTTAATATTCTTGCATTTCAAAATTTAAAAAGAATTGGTGAGGTGAGGGAGGGAGTTATCGGATTTGATACAGTTGTACATTATATATATATATTTCCTTAATTTTTAAGCGTTGGCCAGCGTCAACTTGTGTGCCTTGCCCGTGCCTTACTACGCAAGACCAAAGTCTTGGTTTTAGATGAAGCCACTGCTGCAGTAGACCTGGAGACAGATGACCTTATTCAGTCAACTATCCGCACAGAGTTTGCTGAGTGTACTGTACTGACCATAGCTCACAGACTGAACACTATCATGGACTACACAAGGTAAGTTAAGTAATCTGGATTGAAGCTTTTTGCAATTGCGAATTAGTGAACACTTTTTTTTTAGAATCTGTATATATATATATATATATTACGACTATATTAATTTCACTGAAGAGTTAGGAATTGGTAATATTGAACAAAACTTGATATCATTTTTTGAGAAAACAGAATAGAAGATGTACGTGCAGCTTTGTCATGCAAATATGGAATAATATCATTATGCATGTAGAAGTACTTAATTTGTGCTTCTTCTAAGAATTTTGATACATTGAAAGTGTTAACTTTTCAGGGTATTAGTACTTGATAATGGAGAAGTGAGGGAATTTGCACCACCCCAAGAACTCTTACAGGATCAAAATGGAATCTTTTACTCTATGGCCAAAGATGCTGGACTCGTGGCCTAGAAGCTCTCAAGATTTTCTATAACTACTTTTAAGAAGACAAAGACTGACTGGGCTTGGGGACATTATGATGAAGCTGATATGAGTCAAGAGCTAATTACAGCATAAATCAGAATGATGTGGAATTGATTTTCTTGTTTTTTGAGAAGACATTTTTGGATATGACATTTTCAGTTTTGTTTTTTTTTCAAATAGTTTTCATTGTTACAATACATATATATTTAATCATGTTTATAGTTGTGTACATGAAGCCTCTTACAGGCAAGTACATGTATATGTATATGAAAGAGGATTTGCAGGGTAGACCGACTATTCAGGTATGGGTGTCACTAGTCAAGAGCTCATGGCACAGATATTTTGGGTTCAACCCCCGTTTTTTTTTTTTTTTTTTTTTTTTTTTTTGGTCCTTGGAAAGGGCACTTAACCCCAAATACCTCTGTATGTTCAGGTATATGTAAATTACTACCAACTATATTTGTGAAGGAGTGAGCTAGGGCAGAATTATAGTATCTTATCTTGGGGACTTGGAAACTGTCAGTCACTTCATAGTGCAAGAATGAGCACATACCTGTGTAAGCTTTGTTTGGTTAATTCTGGTTACAGACAAGCTTACTATCAGCGATCATTTTTTATTTGCCATTCAAGCATGTAAACATGTCTTTGTACAAGTCATCCCACCTGACTGATAGATAACAATTAGTAGTTCAGTCTTAGAATCCAGTCAGATTGTTAACTGACCTCAATAGCATTGATGGGGGACAGTATTAAGGGTTTTGACTCCCTGCTAATGGTGAGCTAATAGCATATGTAATTAGATGACTTGCTAAAATGTGGCAGGTAATGACAATGATTTCATTCTAAAAACAAAATGTGTTGTTGAGAACAATATATTAGGTTCAATATAAAAAAATATTAGGTATTAGGTAATCGAGAAGAGATGTTGGTTTTGATTAGATTAAAACATTGCTTTTTGAATATTTATAATGGTTTATAAATTATAACCATTTCAAACTGTACATGCAGTTTTTTTATGTAGATATGTAAATTATGATTACTTAAAAAATCAAGATATAAAGTAATTACAATGTGTATGTACACTGCCCTATTGCTCATACCATAGTCTGTGCCCTTAAATTAAGTTTTTTGATATGTTAATAATGATAAATTGTAGTTAAATTTGTACTCTTGATAATCTCTCTTTATTAGTATTGTAAAGATTGATTTGAAGGAAACTTTTTTTGAAATGCACTGGTATTTAAATGTTATTCAATCATTTAATGATTATAATCTATGATTAAGCAATGTTAAGTGATTATATATGGTTATGTATCAACTGTATATTGTATTTTTCTGTTACAAGACTTTTTTGTTACTTTCATTTATATTTTTCAAATTTTCTTTGATTTTTTTTTTTTTTTTTTTTTTTTTTTTTTTTTGGGGGGGGGGGGGCTATTTTATAATATATATTTGTATACTTTTTGCATAAGTCTCCTGCCACTTGCATTTGTTGTATATTTTATGATGAGTCAAAAGAAAAACGCTTGTATGCTTGTATTGATTTCATTTAATAATTAGAATGTTTTATTTTCTCTTAAGAAATCATTATTATTATCATATAAGTATTTTAAATGTTAAAGTTTCTTTATGTTTGAATAAAGCCCATTATGTATGAAAGACTGCCAATTAATTTTAACTTGAAGGCAAAATGCTTTGGTTAGATATTTAGTTTTATTTCTCTCATTTTCATGTTATATTCAGTGAGTTGTCATATATCACAAAAAAATGGACATAATACTTGCTTTTAAAGGTGTCATTAAAAGCTTACGTTATGTTCAACTACCCTGTATTTTGTCATAAAGAAGCTTCAATTTTTTGTTTAAAAAAATGTCTGTAATAGTTTGTGTGCAAGTAGAAGATACTAGTCGTGCTGTTTGTTTTTATTTATTTTTTAATCAAGTGGTTTTAGTTTGATTGTTCTGTTGGTAGCACATTATAGCTTTTATTGCCTGAAAATTAAATATGGAAAATGGAATGGTTTGCTGCTGTTGTATTGTTTTCCTTCTTGAAAGTATATTTAAGTGTTGCGAATACATCTTGTAACCTTCTGTACAGAAATCTGTTCATCAGATTGTCGACTTAAAAGGCATGGGAATATGTCATGGTATAAAAATGTCAAATTTGGTGATTGGTTAACAGTAGTCACCAAATTTAGTCACCAAAGGTAGTAGACAACTGTCGGACAATTGTCATGACTTAGCATGCTTGGGCACACTTTTTTCTGGCAGCTGATCAAACCAATCCCAGGCCTTTTTAATGAATTAGCAGTTTGTCATTTCGAGCCTCCAGTTCAGGATCTTGAATGCCAAACAATTGAATTTGAACTGCTGTATCATGATGCAAATGTAAAATTTGTATTCGTTATTAATCCCCTTACCTTTCCATTCAGTATGTGTTGGAGATTGTTGAGGTGCAATACTCCCATATTTGGAATTGAAAAAAAAAGGAACCTGTGTATAAACAACTGGAAACCTGGACAAAACCTGGCCCAGTTGTTTAAGTCAAAAATTACTACTGCATTTAAATTTACAATTCTATTTGCATGCATTTTTACTTGAACAGGGATTGGTTAGGAAACTGAGTCAAAACTGTATTACTATATACTTATATTACTTACAGTTGCCATGGACTTGTGTCATCATACAATTTGCAATTATGGCCACTTTTACATAAACAGTGTGATTTATTATAATAACTTTTATCTAAAACATGAAAAGGCCTTGAAATCAGCTTTGGTGCACCACCATCTTAGAGTCATGTTTTATGATTCCAACTAGAGGAGATTAGTTTCTTTTTTTCCTGCAAAAGCAGGATACCAATAGCTCTTCAAGCTCATGCTTCAATTTATGTATTTCAAGTAAAACAAGGCAACTTCAGATGCACAATATTCTTTTATTAACAAATAAATGATTTCCTGTGTTAATCCTGAGTGACTTCAAAAAAAATTAATTGTACAGTGTAATGGCAAGTGTATACATTTGGCATACAGATATAAAAAAAGTTTTGCAAAAAAGGCTGCTTTTTTAACAAACCAATATCATCACTACAACCAGAGATGTACCATTTGAAAAAACTAGACTGACTAAAGTCAGATATATGTACAGTATGTAGATTATATTGGTATGGTTAAGTGGGTGATGACAGTTGCCAAAGAGACGGATCTCTTCTGTTTGTAATATCGTGTGATTACATACACACTGTATCAAAAAGTTTACCCATTGAACACGTAAGGCGCTATAGTAGGTGCATATGTTTTTTTTTAGTTTGGTAATATGACTTCTGAGTTAAGTTCAATATCTTAGTAAAATATAAGAGTATTTATTTGGGTTGGTTAATTATTTTCATGTCATGGTAAGTCTTGCATTTGCTTCTGACACTGAAATGGAAGTCCTTCATTTGGTATTGTGGGTTAATATCCATTTTCTTAAAATATCTTCAGTTCTAAGACAGGAGCCCAGCATCTTTAGCCATTGAATGGAAGATTCCGTTTTCATCTGCCAAGAGTTCCTGAGGTGATGCAAATTCTTTCACTTCTCCATAGCCCAAGACCAATATCCTTAAAGAATAAACAAAAGGTATTAACAGATTAATTTTAAAGAATGCATAAAAAAGTAAAAACATTGACAATCACTGGTATTCAATTCAACAATTATGTGATGATCTTTATCAATCATTCCATCCTGAAGAGCACATAAAACTGTACACTTATCTTAGCAACAAAGTCTTTTTGTACAAAAACATGGGTCAATAGCAATTTTACACATACGCATAGTTTGACCATACAGAAACAATAAAAAAAAATTACATATGTTTTCAATAAACTGTAGTTGCAAAAGCTTCAATCTAAATTACTTAACTTACCTTGTGTAGTCCATGATAGTGTTCAGTCTGTGAGCTATGGTCAGTACAGTACACTCAGCAAACTCTGTGCGGATAGTTGACTGAATAAGGTCATCTGTCTCCAGGTCAACTGCGGCAGTGGCTTCATCTAAAACCAAGACTTTGGTCTTGCGTAGTAAGGCACGGGCAAGGCACACAAGCTGTCGTTGGCCAACACTAGAAATCAAAAGCAAATATTAGTTCTACACAATGATTTCAGGATTTATGAAGATTGATATCAAAATGAAAAAGATTAATACACATACCACATAAAACAACTACACATAAAAATATCAAAAAGTAACTTAGCAAAAACTGACTATTTTAAGGTATTAAATTAATATTTCCTTAGATGAACAACAAAGCAAAATGTTTAAAACACATAACGAACATTTGGTATACATATAGTAATTGCTAAGATATGAATCACCTTTGTTTGCAAAAATGTGCAAGATAACCTATCAAATACATACCTAAGATTCTCTCCACCTTCAGAACACTCATAGGACAAACCCTCTGGATTGCTGGCCACAAAATTTTTCAGGTGAGCATGCTCTAATGCCATCCATAGCTCTTGGTCAGTGTACTGATCAAAGGGGTCAAGGTTCATCCTCAAACTGCCAGAGAACAGAACAGGGTCCTTATGATAAAAAAAAAGAAAAGAATATTATGATAAGGCTTCAATGAATGTTTATACAAGCATGCATATATATAGTAGCTTGCAAAGGAAAAGATCATAATAAGGTTTGGTTCTCAGAAAAATGACATAAGAAATGCTAAATATTTGATATATTCAAAAGTTAACATACCTGAGGAATGACAGTTATCTTAGACCTGAGGTCGTGAAGTCCGATCTCAGATATATCTGTACCATCAATCAATATCTTCCCTTCAGCTGGTTCTATAATTCTGAACAAAGCCAGCGTAAGTGAAGACTTTCCAGCCCCAGTCCTACCCACTATGCCAATCTGAAAAAAGAGGGAGACCATTCAAACTGATTGCAACAGCTTGTTCCAATACATGATTTTTTATTTCCATCTTTTAATAATCTTATTTATTCATTTTTGCTGTGTATTACGCTAACACTAGCTTGCATTGTTTTGTCACTGAACCACATTTACCTTTTCTCCTCCCTTGATGTGGCAGTTGATATTTTTCACCGCCAGAGGGAGCCCCTGTCTGTACCTGGTGCTGTAGTTGTCTATGACTATTTCACCTTTATGGGGCCAGCTGCTATCTGGCTTCTTCTCTGGGATAGACCATTCAGCCTGAATTTCAAAACACAAGATTTTTGTTCAAAGCTCAATACTTGATCATATTACTGGTATCATGGTATATTTTCAGCAAATCTGTAGCAGTGAAAATTCTTGTCTCTTTCCAAAACATTTGATGATGACTTCTACTAAATTGTCACATAAATATACTCCCCCTCCCTTCCCTGTCTCAACCACTCCTTGATACTTGTTTCCTCAAATTTTTTTCAGGTCGAATACCATGTGCCCCACTGCACTTGCAGTACATAATACAAAACTGACTAATTAAGTATTGCTGATGTAAGGTGCATTATATTGTAACTACCGTACTTCTAAAATAAAAAAGTTTTCAATACACTTTACTTTTATTGGAAATATCATGTATTTTCTTTTTTTTTCAGAAAAAAATGTCACATTTGCTACAATTTTAACAAAAATAAAAAAAATCATGTGTTTGCTACTTTAATTTTGAATTTTCTAATTACCTCAGTTTTGTACTCAGAGTACTCCTTCACTCTCTCAACTGCCACTATGTTGGCCTCTAGCTCACTAGCAACATGAACCATTCCATTCAGTGCACCAGTAATCTGCAAATACAGGACCATGAACAAATATGGATTATGAAATACGACAAATTATGTCAAATCAAATCCTTATTGTTTAATTAAGAAGAGATAAACATTATTTTCTTCACCTACAAGCAAGCAAGCATTAAAAAAACCTGTGCCCTCATTTAACCTAAGGATCCAACATTGCTCACCATTCAGGTTTTCTTTTTTATTTACTTACATTCATTGCATAAGTCACTGATAGCCCAACAATGCCTGCAGTGAGTGTGTCCCTCCCTAAAACTGCAAATATGGCAGCAGCGAACACAATGCAGTTGCCAATGAACTGCAGACGAGTAGCCAACCATCTGAAACATTGAACAAAGATTGTTACCGAGGCTTTTCCCAATTATTTCTAAAGTAAATATCAAATCTAATTGACCTAATAGTATCAAAAGTAAAAAGTCAGATTTTGATAAAATTTTCTGGATATGGCACAAATGGGCTAACTTAGAATCAATCAGACATTACTGCTGATCAATTAATCAATTAATCAATATGAAGAATTGAGTTTAATTCTGGTCCTACGTAAATTAGGGATTCTGGGATTATGACAATATGTTCACTGATAATATTATTGAATTACAAGAAAAAAGTAAAATTCACTAACTTGTGTGACATCTTGTTAATGTACATGGCAGCAAGATGGTTGTCGACCCTTTCTTCTGATTGTAAAATGAAATTTTTCTGCTGTCTAAATGCACGGATTGTACTGACGCCACTCAGAGTCTCCCCGAAATGGGAATAGATAGGAGAACTGGCCACAGATTCAATACGCCTCAGCTGTCTTGATGTAGGAATGAAAAAACGCTGGAAAAAATTAAGAGAAATGTTGTCAGATTTTATCATTATTCTACTGCAAACTTTTTAATGAACTCTTTGTAAGAAGTAAAAAGTAATAAAAAAATGCAAACAACCAATTAATATCAAGGATCATTGCTCTTTCTAGTATAGTCTGTTTTAGAGCGGTCATGAAAAAACCCAGATATTTGTTAATAAACAAAAAAATGGATGCACCTTACGATTAAAACCACTTATATTTATAACAATTTTGTTAATTTAATTCTGAACAATAAACC